CGGAATATCTCACTGAATTATCGTGTAATATCTGAGTTAATTATCGTGAAATATCTGAGTGAATCATCGTGAAACATCTGAGTGAGTTATCGTGAAATATCTGAATGAATTATCGTGTAATATCTGAATGAATTATCGTGAAATATCTGAATGAATTATCGTGTAATATCTGAATGAATTATCGTGTAATATCTGAATGAATTATCGTGTAATATCTGAATGAATTATCGTGTAATATCTGAATGAATTATCGTGAAATATCTGAGTGAATTATCGTGTATATTATCGGAGTGAATTATCGTGAAATATGTTAGTGAATTATCGTGAAATATCTGAAAGAATTATCGTGAAATATCTAAGGGAATCATCGTGAAATATCTGAGTGAATTATCGTGAAGTATAGGCTGGAACTCATCAGTATTGGATATTATTCTACTGCATGGAAATAGTCTTTATACATTAATTTTTAAGTAATTCATGTTAATAAAAACTTACAACTATTAACTGATGTACCTGACTGAATAGTTTCTCTTGATGAAGTAATTACTTTTATATAATAACTATAGTGAAACACGCAATGTGATTGGTCAATAGCCGTGCAGGATCAGACAATCCTGCACGCGTTTTAGACAATCCTGCACGCGAAATTTAATTTTAATAAAGTTAACCGTTGTTTCACTACAGTTATTTTATAAAACAATTACCAAATGATTTTCCGTGCAGGATTGCGTGATCCATGCACTTGGGATGTTGCTCGACTTTCGGAAAGCGTGAAAATACACTCGCCTACGGCTCGTGTATTTTCACGCTTTCCGAAAGTCTCGCAACATCCCGCGTGCATGGATCACGCAATCCTGCACGGAAAATCATTTGGTATTCCTTTAATACCGTTTACAATATAGTGAGTCATTTGCGTTATTTATGATCTATTTACTTCTCTCAGGTATAACGCTACAAAAATTTTCGTATAGTAGACCATGGAGATTTTTTGTTATTTCAAATAGGCAACATCGTTTATATTTAAGAGTTTTTCACATCACGTTACACACATACTTATGTTAGTCAACCTCTGCTTAGGTTGACCCCGCCAAGAGCAGTCCGTCCCATGGACCTTTTAACATGGTTATGTAATGATTACGTAACACAATTTTTAGATATTCTTATCACTACAAACAACGTAATTATTTGAACTCCATCACATCGTATCATGATAACACAAAGAACGCATGCATGGAACAATAACTACAGGAAATCATGTTTATGCCCCCTAAGAGATTGCTTTTATCATGCATTGTTACAAAACGTCTCACTTCGCATCATCAAAATACATCTTGCCCACACCTTTTTAATTCGCCTTTATTGCATTCTTTTCGCCCGCTCCATAACGTCATACTTCTTAGTATCGTACCATCTTCAATCCTTTTTATATGGATATATGTAATGGTTACGTAACACAATTTTTAGATATCTTATCGCTAGACTGAACGACGAAAATAAATATGAGCTACGGACATGGTCCGTTTATTCGACTTCCTGTAAAAGTTCAAGTACACAAGCTCTTGAAACGATACCACGTGAGCTCCGATCACTTCGGATGTTTGTCTGACGTTGGTCGTGCATGGCTTTTCTTATAATGAGTAACAGGGAAATCACATTATTACGCACGATAGGACATATACCAATTTAAATATATTATCTACAAACCTAGCCAATAGTATTTAGCAACCTTACCCAGTCACGGAAACAAATTTTCCTCTCATTTACTCGAGCTCTAATTTATTGCGGGACTTCAATTCCACTTGTTTAGTTTACACTGACTGTATAGCATTTAAATATAGTCCTGATCTTTTCCGCAGTTTGCTGTACCTAAAGTTCGTTGTTCTCTTTCATTGTTCCAGTCTTGGCAAGAGTGATTGAAGGTATTTTATGACAGAATACGGATTACTTAATTATATAACATTTTAATGTTCATAATGTAACTTAGATTCCAACTCTTACCCATTAATGAGTTATAGTGTTATTTTGATTTGTCATTCCCACTATTTCACTTTGAAAATATGAGACACGTTAGACTTAAACTGACTATGGCCTGTATTTTAAAAGCTCACTCATACTCAAACTCATTGAGTAGGAGATCTCAATCTTCTCATATCTTTTCCATAGCGGTATTTTCAGTCAAACAACAGCTTGTTTTTTAATGTTTTATCTTAAATCTTCTCATTGTTAAGAAAGAACTTTCTCTCTGATCAGCTAGTAATAACAAAATTTCTATGTCAGACTCAGAGAGTGTGAATTTGAGTGAGCTTTTTGAATACAGTGGTATAACAACCGCTTAAAATAGAGAAAATCATTTCTGGACTTTCCGACTTAGGATTCTTCTTCTTGCAGAAGAGTTAGTGCGAATTTTCATGCTAACTCTCCTGACGAAGGCCCGTAGTTCAAAACGTCGGGAAGTGTGTTTTGTGTGATTTTATTTATTGCCTTATTGCATTATATCTGAAATAAAAAGGCAACGGCCATTAATTTTATAAAAATATGGCGCAACGTCCATTATAAAAGGCATCGACCGTTCTAGAAAATGGCAACGACTGTCTCAAATGACAACGTCCGTTTACGAAAGGGTTAATATGATTTAATATTCATTGATACTACATAGGAATATATCGTCTGATGGGTTTCAAGTGCATTGAAGGGTTAAAAGAAAAGCTTACACAGTAGGCAGCCGAGTTATCTTTATAACTTTAATGCCTCATGAATATAATATTTTTACAACCAAGGAACGACGTGGCAATTTAACCATGCGAGGTTACTTATTCCGCTCGGAAATTAGGAATTAAAACTTGGTATTGTGACAAAACATAACCGAATAACCTAACCTAAAGTCGTGGAATGTCATTGATTTTGGATGGTTTTATTATGCGTTTGCGCCAAATGTTGGAGCCTGAAGATTGAGGATCAGCAACCGCTTGATTACAAAAATGCACGAGTGCAATCGAGAATACACCTTAAAAAAAGTTTCAAATATAGCGGAAAGTATAGAATTTCCTGACTCAAGTTTCTCTAGAAACGCACGTTTAAATGCAAATCGGCTATATACAAATTAGCATGACAATCTTACCACGGAATTTAGCCACCCACCATGTGACTAAAATGCATGGCCTATGACTATTTGAGCTCAGTTTATGTAAAGTAATTTTTAGTTCAATTCCCGTTCCATTTGAAACAAATTCATTTTCCTAAAGGTTTTAGAAATGATGTTGGTCTATGCCCTGATGATGTTGACTGCTTTTGGAAAAACGTGTGGAGACTTTCGTGTCCCTGTTTTGAGTGCACCGATTGGTACTTTTAATCTACCATCTTTACAAATATTTTCAAATGAAAGTCCAGAATTTTACGCAAAAGTGACGACATATGGTGTTTGGCAGGCGCCAAGATCTTCAATATACGTGATCATTCCATTTAAAGTAATAGTAGACTCCAGTCTTTTTACAATGTTTTTCGATGCCAATGTTCTGCATAGACGAGATCAACTCACAATTGCTATGCTTGAGCAGAAAAAGTTATATAATTGCACAACTTGTTATCTTTTGAACGATACGGATCTTGCAAATTATACTGATCTTACCTTGACGCAATTACAAAATGTGCAGTCTTTAACAATCGGACAAATTCACACATATAGTGTTGAAACAATGGAAAAAAAGTTTTGTTTCAACATGACAGCCTTGGAACAAAAGCTGAATCTGTCTTCGTTACGTGTACTTAATGATCAATGGTCGACTTTATTTGTACCAAATATCGTTGCCGCGGCTGTGATATGCCGTGATAACCAACTTGCTCTAAGTATTGATGAAATGATAGAACTATTGTACGCAAATAATGATGCATATTATGAATACAATATGGATCAACTTGAGACAATTTTTTTTCCGGCATTTGATGACTTAGTTGCACGCAAGAATCAATTCGACAATCAAACTTTCTCTTTCGCTATTTCTGGAATGAATACTTCCCAATGGCAGTCTCATACCATGGCTTATTATGCAGATGCTATAAGCAAGTTTTCAGTGCGCCAACTAGAGATATTGTACAGATGGGAATCGGCACAGCTTTTCGCGATAGAAAATTTAAAGTTGTACAGTTATTTCTCTTTTTGCCAATCACTTCGAACTAACGTCACTGCCTTTGATTTATGTATTGAAATCTTTGGATATCAGACTACACTTCCAAAATGTAACATTGCTTTTGTCTTGTCTCGATCTTTGGCTGAAGATATCGCCAGATTCAACCTTACTACGATCACAAATAGAAGTGTATTGGGCATTTTAAGAAAGGCAAGTGGCATCAGTAGCTGGTTTAATTTCTATCAGTTGCTTTTTTCGATTTCGGAAGGCATTTGGATGGAGTCTCCTCTTCTTAGACAAATTCAAATTGCACGAAATCTAAGCAATGCTCAAATCCTTACTTATTCCATTCCTCAAATTACCGACGAAATAAGAAGTTTGAATAAATCTGGTAGTCTAAGCTTAATCTTGAAAAGCAATTATCAACAATATCTTTCACACTTATTGCAAACGTATGGCTTAACGAAATCCAGTCTCGCCCTCTTAACAGGACAAACCGAAGCCCAAATTAACAATTTAACAATACAAGAGGCTCATAAACTTGTATTTGAGGCATTATATGTCCAATACAATATTGTCGAGTTTTTAAGCAAAGTAAATGAATCAGGCGTGGACAGTTTTGTAGCCATCAATCTCCCCTCTTTTGAATGGCACCGGCTGGTAAGAGCAGCTATCGAGAGTTCATTTGATCAACTATCGTTAGCTTTCACAGTCAATCTTACAGCAGAAACTTTTGGTGTTGCAGTTATTACCCTTGCAGACGGAACTTCTTCAATTGAGGTTCAAACTGGCAACGTTTCCAGTACTTTTGTAATCACAGCCACTCGTTTGGCGTCCTGCTTAGGTACTACAACAACAAACCTTTACCAAAGCACTATGCTTGAATACCAAGCTCTGTATCAAAACTCAGTAGTGCCACTCATGAATAAGAAAATCGTTTTGGAAACGGAAAAGTTCTCAATTTTGTTAGAGCGACTTGGAATAACATTCGGTAGTATCGATGAAGAAACGGTTGGTGAGACACTCAAGAATCAAGTTGGACTGACAGCAGAGCAGTTACGTTGTCTGTATGGATGGTCATTTGAATTTACATCTTTCCTGTTCGGCATAAGTTGGAAAAATGTTAGCTCGTCTCGCCTTTGTGATAATTTCATCTCCTGGCCCCTTTATCGGATTGCTCTTGCGCTGAATTATTCCACGCCTACGTTATGTAGTAGGTGGAATAAACATTAAAAGTAAAATTTAAATTTTATTTAATAATTGCCCAGTCAGCAGGGCAGTAACTAGAACGATAATTGGGGGCGTGTTTATTCATATATTCAGTTCTGCCCGACGGATTTCTTTTGTAAGTGCAATAGCTCACAATGGAAATCCGTCGGGCAGAACTGAATATATGAATAAACACCCCCCAATTATCGTTCTAGTTACGGCCCTGCCAGTCAGTGTACGGCTTGTCGTCTTGTCTTGGGGCAACGAGGAGGCATTACCATAATTGAACTAGGACGATATAAAATTGTTTCTTAATAGTAATATGTGTTGCATCATCGGGCATTAAAATTTCAATTGTTAACAATTTTTTTACAGAGTTATGTACGACAAATCCTTGTGATGCGAATGCAAACTGTACCAACACAGTTGGTTCATATGTGTGTTTTTGCCATTCTGGTTTCACTGGTAATGGAATCAATTGTTCCGGTAAGACGCCCAATTAGAAAAAAATATATTCTTTTTATGTTAGTGCATTTTGCTATTGCCTCTACATGCCTTTCACTTTACCTTCTCTGGTACTTCTCCCTATCGCTTCTTCTTCGTTTGTTTGCAATCTTTCTTGATCAAGTTTTCCAGGTTCTGTACAATAATTAAATCTAAACTACAATCTTCGTAGATACCGATGAATGCGCAATTAGCGCGAATGATTGCAGTCCGAATGCTAACTGTGCAAACACCGTTGGATCTTTTACGTGTCAATGTAAGGCAGGCTATACTGGTAACGGGACATCGTGCACTGGTACGTACATTTCACTCAAGGGAATGGGGAACGAGACAGGGTTGCATTCCGGGGGAGGTCATGTGCTTTTAATTAATATTTTTAATCATGATGCCAAAATTTTCCATTCGGGTACAAGAATATTCTTTTTTCTCCCGTCTGACTCACAAAATACTTTACTCTCCCATACCGGCATACTCAATTACAGTTTTGTACGGGAGATGGAATCATGTGTACTGGTGTTTAAAATGTGTCCTCGCTGATAAAGGCGGAATACCCGCGAACAGAACACGCCTTGCAAAAAACTCATCACATTTTTATGGTGTGAAAAAGCAGGAAACTTGAAGGTGGTTTCCGCTTTTTCAACAATTTCCGGAGCCAATTAGACCTAAACTTATATTATGAAATGACTGAAAACTCAAATCAGTCTATTAAAATATTATATTTTATCGAGTATATTACAGCTAATGTTTCCATCATTCGGTACAAAACTCCTGAAAAGTGTGTTTTCAACGTCCCCAGCGTGAAATTTTTAGGTCAGATTGGGGGACTGATGGCATAAAACCAGACCCAGAGAGAATACAAGCAATCCAGAAAATGCAACCACCAACCAACCTACATGAGGTCCGTTCCTTCCTGGCAGGGGCAATTCTAACCTTGTATAACCCCTATGGAAGAAACAAAAATACTGAACGTTACTCCATCGTGGGAGTAGTGGCGATATCGAGGATTATGTGCGACAATCTTCGAGCCCCTTTCCATTGCTGTCAGAGCAAAGAGCATACTCAGTTTTAGAGACAAGTCCTTGAGATTCGTATTAGAGTTTTAAACTAACGATTCTAGAAAAGATAGTCCCACCTCTACGTGCCACGTGCTAGAATGTGAATGTGACTGGCCACTCAACGAGGCTGCACTTACCCTTGAAAATATTAGGCAGATTTGTTGTCAAAGAGGTCACTGGAGTGTGACTTACTGGAGTAAAGGTTTTATGTTGATTAGTAATAAATTATTAATGATGGAAGGTATATAAACTACATAACGTCATACGAACGCATGACTTCTCAATGCGTTCGTATGACGTTACTGATATAGTGAGTCAATGATTGTTGCTGGCAAAGAAAGAAAGGTTTTTGGAAAGGTTATCAGCGGTGCAGGCGATACAGAAGGTCAGCATGAGTGGGGTGGCTTTAAAGTTGGTGTTGGCTTCGCTTTCCAAAAATGTCGCCATTGCCAGTGCCAATTTGAAGCAATGCAGGAAAAGTTTTACGAGGAAGATTTCATCCTTAGAACGAAGGAAACATATGAGAGACATTGCCCAGAAATTGCTGTAGCACCAAATGATATAGTTAAGAATGATCTAAGCATTTCGTATGGTATTAACTACAAGAGTTCCTTGTGTGACTTACAGGATTTTGATATTACTGTGCAACTACCACAGGACATAATGCACACATTGCTGGAAGGTGTAGTTCAGTACGAATTACGTGACATATTACTCCACTACATTGATGTTGGGCAGTTTACACTCCAGCAGATTAATGCGTCTATTACCAATTTGGAGTATGGCTGTAGTGAGGTCTCAAACAAACCTGGTCCCTTAAAGGAAACTGTTTTTGGGGTGATGAAAGTTATAAACTTAAGTACAACGCCTCTCAAGCAAGATTGTTTTTAAGGTTATTACCTTTCATCTCAGCAGTTTGGTTGACAAAGAGAAATTTTTATTGCCTTTTGACAGAGCTGATCTCCAACTGAAAGGAACTATGGTGTCCTTTCACTTGCCAATGAATCTTTAAGGAAATCCTTTCGAGCACAGCTAGATACTTTTGGAATGCAACCTGGTTTTCACCTGGAACATTTGTATAAAGCCACCTGGGTAATGTGTTATAGCGCAAAATTTTGTAAGAATGGTGTGGTTGCTTGTGATGTTGATGGGACACTCGTGTTACCTGTCTTTGGCAAGATCAGGGAAATCTGGGTAATTAGTGACTTTGTAAATTTTGAGTGCATGTTGTTTGATACCACTCCTTCAGCGAAGACTACCAAGCCTATCATGTGAAGGAAAGTGTAAATGGGGCTAGTCATGTTATATGTCCTTATGAGAACCTTGTTGATTACAATGTTTTTCATGTACATAAAAATTCTTGCAAGGACATGCACATTTCTGTAAAGTATGATATCACAGCATGATGGCACAGCATGGTACGATGGCACAGCATGTAAAAGGCTGCAACCCTTTGAAATCGTAGACTACCATGGTGTACTGAGTTCATGTACAGTACAAGACTATTAAGAATTTTATTGATGTATTAAGGATGTTACACATGTGGTATGAGTGAATTATGAATTATACTGTTTATATCATTTCAGTCAATTTTACCTGCTCATTGTGATTGATAATCCATTAAGTTGCAATACACCCAGGGGCCAATTGTATAAAAGTTAGTTAACTTTTAATTGTAGTTAAGGACAGAATTGTCCCAGCAGATTCGTGTATTTTTGAGTTAATTAGGATTAAACTATAGACAATAGTAGACAATATTTCTCGCAATTGGAAAGGTCGCTGTCAACCGACGGTGCGGCAGGACAAAGATCTAAGTAAAAAGAACGATTCAAAAACCATGCAAGAGAAAAATAAAACGAGGGAGGTTTATTCGACCAAATCAATTCCCAGTCACGTGTGAAAAACTTTGTTTCAGAACAGTTAAAAAACGTGTCGGGAAAATTTAAAGGCCCGCAATAAAAAACAATACTGGCGATGGAGAAGAGAGAGTAAGCTAAGTGGTGGTGGTCCTTCATCACCGAAACAAGACGATGAAGCTGCTGCTTTTGCTTTTACGATTCTGGCGCAAATAAACAGCTTAACTATGATGTTTTTTTGTGACCACATTCCCGCTGTATCTGAATCATTATTTTGATCACAAATATATACAATTGACTATAACTGAGTGTAGCTCAAGGGACGTATGCCTGTCACTCACACTTCACTCAAAATCTGAGCCTCATTTCAGTCATTTGAGTGTGAGTAGTTTCTACCGATTACTCTGGCTAGGTCCCGTATTGCAACCTCCTGTATATACAGGATGTTCTGGCATTCTTTCTTTACCCTTCGGACTTAGTCCCGGGGAAGAGCAAGAGTCATAGTCTGAGAATTTATCAAGAAACCCAAGAACTCCATCTTTCTTGATGGGACAACATTGGATTTTAAAGTTTTATCAAGAAATTTAGGGCTTCCAGATTGCAAACGGTTTGAACATGCCTTTGGCTAGAGCTTCTGTCTCGGCCATAAAAGGTATATGTCGTTCAGGTAGATAATTAGTCCAATATCCTGTTTCCTCAGCTGGGACACTACAGTTTTCATAAGTTTTGTGAATACTTTTGAGGCACTGAAAAAGCCGAACGGTAGACATTCAAATTTGACTATTGTCCCTTTCCAACTGAAGCGAAAGAATTTTTGATGGTTTCTCCATATTATTATTTTTATATGAAAAAAATCCTCCTTCCTTAGAAGGTCCCGTAGCATGTGAATCCCATCCATTTTGAAATGTTTGTAAGGGATCTACTGATTTAATGGGCGTAGGTGACAACTGGTCGTTGACTTCCGCCCTTTTTTGGGACCAAGAAAATAGTGCTTACGAACCCCTGTTCTTGTTGCTAGGGATGAACGATATGTATAGCTTCTTTTTCTAGCCTCTGGGTGATCTCTAGGTCTATTAAGACACTTTGGTCCTGGGTGTGAACCAGTTGTAGGGGAGGGGCCTGCTGGCAGAGTACACCTAAGAGGTCGATATGATGACCCTGATGATTCGAGAACCCAAGGATCGTCGGTTATTAAAGCCCACTGTGGGTGAAAATGCCTTAAACGCCAAACTGCTACTAAACTTTACGTTTAATTTCACGTACTTCACAATCTTAACGTGTGCAGCAATTTCGCTTAATTAAAAATGTTCTACATAAAACTCGTGATGTTCAGCTGTGATGCAAGAAAGCTATAGGCTATTTCTCGTGTATTTAGCAAATTCAGCTTTTCCGTATGTGCTTCACGTTCGCCGCATTCTTTCATGCGACTTTCAAGCATTCAATTTTATATGGTTAAATCGAATATAATTCCACTGAATATACCTATACATATATATTATTGGAATGCGGCGAACGTGAAGCACATACGGAAAAGCTGAATTTGCTTCATTGCTAAATACACGAGAAATAGCCTATAGCTTTCTTGCATCACAGCTGAACATCACGAGTTTTATGTAGAACATTTTTATTTAAGCGAAATTGCTGCACACGTTAAGATTGTGAAGTACGTGAAACGTAAAGTTTAGTAGCAGTTTGGCGTTTAAGGCATTTTCACCCACAGTGGGCTTTAATAACCGACGACCCTTGGGTTCTCGAATCATTTCAGGGTCATCAAATCGACCTTTTAGGTGTACTCTGGCAGCAGGCCCCTCCCCTACAACTGGTTCACACCCAGGATCAAAGTGTCTTAATAGACATAGAGATCATAGATAATAGACATATATAATTATATATATATAATTATAAAATATATGTAGTGACTGATGTAGTATTACCATGATCTATAAGGGTCTATGCTTTAGTCATTACACAAGTGAAAAGTATGTGAAAATCAATAAGCATAAACCATTTTCTTCACCAATTTGAGGTCAGCCATCACGACGAAAGCCTCGCTGACGTTATAATCAAGAGTTCTACTGACTTTTCGCACTTAAACCCAAACGACTGCATAAGGGAGGCATTATTTTTTGTCTCATTAGCACTGTCTAGACTATTTTTCTATTGAAGACAATTGAAAATACTTCTTGTTTTATAGACATCAATGAATGTATTCTTGGAAACGACAATTGTCATGCGAACGCCACGTGCTCTGACACTATTGGTTCTTTTGCATGTCAGTGCAATATTGGATTCGAAGGCAATGGGTCATCCTGCAAAGGTAAAAAAAAATTCATAAAGATCATAGTAAACCTTTTATTCTGAATCTCGTTTCATTTTTTTATTTCTTCAGCAAATTACCCTTTAGTGTCTTGAACAAAATATTTTTCGTCTTGAACAAAAAATGTTTTAATTTAATATACCTCAAGTTCAAATTCCAAATGAAACGCGTAATAACTATATTTCTTCCATGTGTTTATTATTGAACGATAGTACATACCGACTGGTATATAGTAGTCATTATGACGTTCTAACGGGCATCTATAAGTGGTATGCTGCGTTATGACTTCACTTTTAACTTGGACTCTCAATGCGAAAGTACAATTATTTAACTATACTATTTCATGCCTGCGTGATGCACGTGAGTGATTACATATTTTTCAGATATCAACGAATGCGATTCGGGATTACATAATTGCCATCTTAATGCGAGTTGTTTTAACAACCTTGGGTCATTCTCTTGTGCTTGTAAAACTGGATATGTTGGGAATGGCACAAAATGTGAAGGTAATTCCGTGAAAATCTCTTACCGATGCGTGTATATATAATCATACAGTACTGTCTAGAAATAACCTAACACCGCGGTTGCAGTTGCGGTTGGGTTGCGATGGATGGACTTTTTTAAGGTATTCTTGATTCGGCCTAGGGAGACTTAGGTCTGTTGCAGAGTTTCGGAGGTGATAATTAGTTTGATCTATTCCTCTTCTCACGAAAGACTCCCGAAGACCCGGCGCAGTTTGGTCATTAATTAAGTATCTTGTCGTGCAATCAACCTATATAGAATCTCAGCGGAAACAATGATCAACAGTGTGATGTATACTGATGTATACTAGATAACAATAAGAACTTTCGTGACCTAGAGAGCTGTCGAATTTGTTTGGAAAACTCGGCGGAATATAAAATGAGGAAAACAAAGAATACACGTTTACATGAAAGTCTATGTTAATGGGTAAAACTTCGCTGGATATTCAGTTTATATATGGAGCGGAAAAAATTGCGCACATATAGGCATCAAAGACGACTATTGCGCGCGAAGAACAATTTTTATTGACACCCGGAGTGCAAATGAGAAATTAACGTTGTTCGCCATAATTTCTTCCTAATGAATACAAATATTCCACTTTTCCGCGCCTATGTCTTCATATATATAGAGATAAAATATTTTTGCCACCGTTGGACACCTGTTCTTTACTTAATTGTTCACTCGTAGACTATGATGAATGTACATATGGACTAAACAACTGTGACAATAGGATTGCAACTTGTACAAATACGCCCGGATTGTTCCAGTGTAAATGTAAAGCAGGTTTTCACGGAGACGGGATAAACTGCACTGGTACGTGTGATAATGCATCCTTATATTGAAATAGATAGCTTATATAACCTCAAAAATAACATCATGAGAAGATAGATCTACATATACTTAAACATATCGACATCATATTCAAACATATTTCTTTCTTACAGATATCAATGAATGTGAAACTGACAACTGTCATGCAAACGCCACGTGTACGAATTCTATTGGTTCGTTTACATGTCAGTGCAATACGGGATTCGACGGCGATGGGTTAAGTTGTACAGGTAAAATAAAGGGGGCATGAAAAAGCAGAATTTTTTAAGATTACTATCCATTCATCAAAATATTCGTGCAAGTATGGACACTTTACCATATGCGGGCAGATCTAACAATAAAACAAAAAGCAAGATTTACCTTTAAAAAAGGAGAGGTTTGTATAAGGGTCATTTTGAATTACTTGACTTTAATTTTTTTTAATTAATATTTCAAAATACAAATTTATATCTTCGTTCGAGTGTAAATGTAAAGCAGGTTTTAACGGAGACGGGATAAACTGCACTGGTACGAGTAATAATGCTTATCTTGAAGATAATAACTTATAATTATAACCTTAAAAATAACATCTTTAGAAAATAGATCTACATATACTTAAATACAACATGTACAATTCTATATATTGTACTTTTTATCAAAATTTATTCATTTTGATTGGGTTACTGAAAATGTAAACAATCTTGCTGATTGGTCTAAAACGAAATCCTCGCTTGATATATCGGCATTATATTCAAACATACTTCTTTCTTACAGACATCAATGATTGTGTTCTTGAAACTGACAACTGTCATGCAAACGCAACATGTACGGATACTATTGGTTCGTTTACATGTCAGTGCAATACGGGATTCGAAGGCAATGGGTTAAATTGTACAGGTAAAATACAGGGTGCATGAAAAGCAGAATTTTTTAACAATGCTATACAGTTATCAAAATATTTCTGCATGTTTGGACACTACCATCTGTTGGTCAATCTAACAATAAAACAAAAAGCAAGATTTAACCTTAAAAAGGAGAGGTTTGTATAAGGGTTATTTTGAATTACTTGAATCTAATTGTTTTGAAGGGTATTTGTATTTCAAAATACAAATTTACAAATTCGTTCGAGTGTAAATGTAAAGCAGGTTTTAACGGATAGGGAAAAACTGCCCTGGTAGGTGTGATGATAATGCTTATCTGGAGCTTGATAACTTATATACCCTCAAAAATAACTTCTTTAGAGAATAGATTTACATAATTATACTTAAACATTTCACCAAACAAGGATAAACTTCGTTTTAAACTAATTGCGTTATTTGTTTACATTTTTCATGCATTAGCATTCAGAATGCCTAAACTTTTAATACTTCATGATCAATGGTATATATTCTGCTTTTTATCAAAATTTATGCATTCTGATTGCGTTACTGAAAATGTAAACAATCCTGCTGATTGGTCTAAAACGAAATCCCCGCTTGTTATATCGAAATTATATTCAAACATACTTCTTTCTTACAGACATCAATGAATGTGCTCTTGAAACTGACCACTGTCATGCAAACGCCACATGTACGGATACTATTGGTTCGTTTACATGTCAGTGCAATACGGGATTCGAAGGCAATGGGTTAAATTGTACAGGTAAAATACAGGGTGCATTAAAAAGTAGAATTTTCTAACATAGCTGTACAGTTATCAAAATATTTCTGCATGTTTGGACACTTTACCATCTGTTGGTCGATCTAACAATAAAACAAAAAGCAAGATTAAACCTTAAAAAAGGAGAGGTTTGTTTAAGGGTCATTTTGAATTACTTGAATCTAATTGTTTTGAAGGGTATTTAGATTTCAAAATACAAATTTACAAATTCGTTCGAGTTTAAATGTAAAGCAGGTTTTAACGGATAGGGAAAAACCGCACTGGTAGGTGTGATGATAATGCTTATCTGGAGCTTGATAACTTATGTACCCTCAAAAATAACTTCTTTAGAGAATAGATCTACATAATTATACTTAAACATTTCACCAAACAAGGATAAACTTCGTTTTAAACTAATTGCGTTATTTGTTTACATTTTTCATGCATTAGCATTCAGAATGCCTAAACTTTTAATACTTCATGTACAATGGTAGGCTATATATTGTGCTTTTTATCAAAATTTATGCATTCTGATGGATTGCGTTACTGAAAATGTAAACAATCTTGCTGATTGGTCTAAAACGAAATCCCCGCTTGTTATATCGGTATTATATTCAAACATACTTCTTTCTTACAGACATCAATGAATGTGTTCTTGAAACTGACAACTGTCATGCAAACGCCACATGTACGGATACTATTGGTTCGTTTACATGTCAGTGCAATACGGGATTCGAAGGCAATGGGTTAAATTGTACAGGTAAAATACAGGGTGCATTAAAAAGTAGAATATTTTAACATAGCTGTACAGTTATCAAAATATTTGTGCATGTTTGGACACCTTACCATCTGTTGCTCGATCTATCAATAAAACAAAAAGCAAGATTAAACCTTAAAAAAGGAGAGGTTTGTATAAGGGTCAATTTGAATTACTTGACTTTAATTGTTTTGAAGAGGATTTGTATTTCAAAATACAAATTTACAACTTCGTTCGAATGTAAATGTAAAGTAAATTTTAACGGAGACGGGATAAACTAACTGCACTGGTACATGTGAAAATGCTTATCTTGAGCCCGATAGCTTATATACCCTCAAAAATAACATCTTTAGAAAAAAGATCTACATAATTATACTTAAACATATCACCAAACGAGGATGAACTTCCTTTTAAACTATTCGCCATATTTCTTTACATTTTTCAGGCATGGCCATTCAGAATGCCTAAACTTTTAATACTTCATGTACAATGGTATATATTGTACTTTTTATCAAAATTTATGCATTCTGATTGGGTTACTGAAAATGTAAACAATCCTGCTGATTGGTCTAAAACGAAATCGCCGCTTGTTATATCGACATTATATTCAAACATACTTCTTTCTTACAGACATCAATGAATGTGTTCTTGAAACTGACAACTGTCATGCAAACGCCACATGTACGGATACTATTGGTTCGTTTACATGTCAGTGCAATACGGGATTCGAAGGCAATGGGTTAAATTGTACAGGTAAAATACAGGGTGCATGAAAAAGTAGAATTTTTTAACATAGCTATACAGTTATCAAAATAATTCGGCATGTTTGGACACTTTACCATCTGTTGGTCGATCTAAAGCAAGATTAAACCTTAAAAAAGGGGAGGTTTGTATAAGGGTCATTTTGAATTACTTGAATCTAATTGTTTTGAAGAGGATTTGTATTTCAAAATACAAATTTACAAATTCGTTCGAGTGTAAATGTAAAGCAGGTTTTAACGCAGACGAGATAAACTGCACTGGTACGTGTGATAATGCCTATCTTATTTGATGGTGGATTTGTATTTCAAATACAAATTTTCAACTTCAAAAACTCTTTTGAAAGCAATTATGCTGTTATGAAACCTTCCACAGTCGGTTAAATGTTCTTGCAAAAGGAAATGCTAAGCTTACTATAAATCAGGAGCGGACTGGCATATATATACACTTACCGGCAAAAATCATATAGGAGGCTGCAGTTCAAACAGCAACAGTCACTGAGAATGAGGCGCGCCTGGAAATTTTTCCAGGTATCGCTGCTGTGGGCCTGTTCTCCACTGATATAAATAATCTTCATCCTAGTACAGCAAATACGTACGAAATAAAAAAGATAGTACGTACACGTCTTCAAAACACTTCGTAGCTCACCGTATATAGATTTTATATCGTTCCTCTTTGATCAATCTATGCTCGTTGTTTATTTTATTTTACAAATGTTTTTACAAAGTAGTTTTCAAAATGATCGTGAAATAATCGGCCGACATTCTTTTGGAAATTCAAAATTTCTAGGTTAGCTAATCACTTATCGGTGTAGCTAATCAGGGTGTTGCTGATTAATGGCCAGTCATGCTCGTTTATATTTCAAGCATGCGCATAACTAACTGATAATTATTACTTTTTTGTAACAGAGCGCTTACATACCGGGCGGAAAAACGCGCTTACAAAGGGCTGATCGATGTTTGATGCGACAAAGGACAGGCGCGAGCGTATTTTTTCAACAATTTTGGCAAGGGGTGTGATTTTGTAGTGTTGTTTTTGTGAGGCTCTCGCTTCGGATTTATGCGAATCTTCAAATATTTTTTTACTGAATATTTCAAAGCAGTATTTCCTTTAACGTCTGAGAGGTTGACACTTTCATCAGAATTTTGTTACCAGGTTTTATTGTGGATATGTTTCGTCAAAAGTAGGGTATGATGAGACACGAAATTCAACAAGGCATATGACAGACTACTCACTGTCCCACATATATATATTTTAGGTATGTTAAGCTTATTATTGTACTTTGTTTGTTTGTCTATTGAGATTCTCATAGAAATCCGGCGGAATTGAAGTTTTTTAACTGCTTTGGTCTGAATTCATGCACTATTTTCGGTAAATTTTTCATGTTTAGATTCATCCAGTGATGAAATTTAAACGATTAAAATGTCTACCGTCAACATTTATTAAGTGTTTGTGAAAAATTAATATAGATCACCTTTCGAGAATTTTTAACGTTTTTCCTCTAAATATCAGTGGAAAGGAACCACCCCCCCGGTAACATAATTTTGTTAATGAAAAACCAAACTTGGCCTAGGTATACCAGATAAGTCTTAAAGTGCCTATATCACTTGTGGGATCTTTACGGATTTGAATAGAGCTTAAAAAAATAGTTTATAAGTTCTACAACCCTTTTTGATATAATTAAATAGTTTCGAAAATACGTCGGTTGGGGGGACTGGGACTCAGGAATGATTTGCAAACACGCCGTCTTTTATAATGTAAACATGAAGAGTTTCACTGGCGATACAGTTTGCGCTTTTCAAAAAAAAAATGCGGGAACGGTGCGTTGTGTATGGCTGTTGAAACTGGGCGAGTTTTTCTCAAAATATTTTACGTTATTGGAAGATCGAAGTAAAATTACAAGAACTCGGTTCCTGAGTCCCAGGCCGCCGAGCACGACGGAAATTTAGGCAAATCGTCATGTTTAGATGTAAATATTTCCGAAACTATTTAATTATATCAAAAAGGGTTGTGGAACTTGTAAACTAATTTTTCAAGCTCTATTCAAATCCGTAAAGATCCCACAAGTGATATAGGCACTTTAACTATCTCTAGGAACACAAAAAATTGCCAAATTCTGCAAAATATCCTGAAAAACAGAAATTTTACATTTGGGACATTTTTTTTGATACACCCTGTATTGTCTTTCTTTTCCTTAATTCATACTTTCCTTTCCACACCAGTAAACTGACTCCCACTATTCAAAGACCAAAAGTGCTGAAGAACTTTTTGCAATAATTGCTCAGATAATTGAAGAAAATTTTTTCCTGGCTAAAGACATCATAACCAATACGTTTTTCCCACGACTGTTTTATTGCGTAATGGTAAAAACTGCTTGACCTTGCCATACCAAATTCCCTCTCCATAATCACTTCTTTTTTCTGTTGCGTTTTTGCAACGACAGACTTTCTTAACGACAGACTTGCTTTTATCTAATACTGCTTCCAGTGCCAATGATAAAATAACTCATTCGTTTGAAAATGTATGTTATATGTCATATGTTGCTTTCAGTATAAGTGTTTGCAAAAATGAGACCAAATTTTCGCTGTAACAATACTTAAGGATATACTACGGAAATCATCATCGAAGTCATCAACTGGTAGTCAACTGACTTTTAGAATCATCATGTGAACTGAGTTCGTTAATAACTAGAACAGTGCTTGTCTCGATCGCCATCTTCATTTGACTTTCCCACACGACGTCAGCCCGCAGACAACGCGCGCAAGTATCACACATCGATCGGCGCGCGAAGCGCTGAGAGGGATATGAATTCTGCCACCAGGCTGAGAGGGATAAATCTCGTATACCCCGATAGACCTTTGGAACAAGGATTTTGTCTATCAACGCACAGTAATAGAAAAATCTGATTGGACTTTTCCACTCTGCAAGCTTTCAAATACACCTCAAACTTTCTCTTTACACTGCTCTCACTTTTTAGCGTGTTCTTATTAAGCAAATCTTGTCTTTTCTGCGCTAATTCTTCGTCTGAAATTATATCTACACTCAGATTGTTCGACGCCATTTTGAAAAAATGCCGGCAAAAATGTCGTATCCTTTTAGAGCTTGTATTAGCCAATGAGCGTCGTTTAGAATTCGTATACCTTTGGAGCGCACAAAGATACGAGATTTATCCATTCTGCTTCGTCCAATCAGATTTGTCTATTACTGTGCGTAGACAAAGGGGTGTATCCCTAAATCAGCTGTTTTTATCTCTCTTTAGATATTGATGAATGTGCCACAAAAGGCCACACATGTAGTAAAGATGGTATCTGTTACAATAATATTGGAAGTTATACTTGCAGGTGTCATGTTGGCTTCAGTGGTGATGGAAAGAAATGCACTGGTATAACATAATTTTGGGTCATTTCATAATATAAGTTTGCTCATGCAAATAAGTTTGTTTATGCATGGTTAGCTCAGGAAATGGTGTAAAAATAGCAAGGGGTTGCCTCATGCATGTATTTTCTAGTATATACGTGATGATACTCATGATGGGTTAGGTGACATTAACTTTATTGCCTCAGGGACGATATTACATGTGTCACGAGTGAGCGCTGCCAACTCGTGGTACTCCCCATATATTGTGGCAATAAAACCGATATCATGTCATGATATGCCTATATGACGTATTTGCATGTGCCCTTATTTAGCAAATATATCTGATCATATTTTGGAAGTATTATAAGTGAGTTGTTGCAGAGATATTATGTATATATAATTAGTTATGATTATTTACTTTTCGACCAAGGCCCTTGTCCAAGTGAAACAGTTGGCACAGTTGATAGTTATGGAATCTTCTCGTGGCCTGAAACTCCAGTTGGGACACGTTCCTCACTTGCCTGCCCATACAATAATGAGTCTTTCGCGATCCGCGAATGTCTGTATACCAACAAAACGAATAGTGGAAACGCTTGGGGTCCAACCGTTGCCACTGATTGTAATTTTCAAGACGTCAGAAGCAAAGATCTGTTTCTTTTGGCGCAGGTAATTTTTTTTTATTTTGTGCGCAGGTAGCAATTTATTTTTTTATGTAGACACTTCTCAACGTTTCGACCTGAGGGCGTTCGTAAGGAGAGCTCCTACTAACTCTTCATTCCATAACTCGCCATTCTCCTACTAACTCTCCTGACGAAGGCTCTCAGGTCGACACGTCGAGAAGTGTTTTGGGCAGTTGTTATGCCACATTTGATGCTACGTAGAATATAGTTGAGTATATTTTACCCGCTCAAATTTTTTTCAAACATGATTGCAAAAATATAGTAGACGAAGGAGCCTGAACTGCTGAACTACGCCTATGGATGCCCTTAGCAAAAAAATATTTATGGACTTTTATATTTTTCTCAATTTATATGAATTATGCATATTTATTTTAGGAAGACGTCAATATTAATAATTTGGTAAATATTTCGCGAGACGTGAGGAATCTGTCATCGGTTAATCCTACTGACAGTACGCTAAAATCTGGAGATATTAGTAATATCGCTACGGTATTGGAGAAAATTGTTGCAGTCAAAGTAAAATCAAATGAGGTTTGTTATATCATCTGAGAGTATCTCCAATCATTTTATGGATTTTGTGTTACTTCATAGTCAGCAAACCTACAATCTACGCTTTTCTTATGTATAAGTTGTCCCATTGAATAGGAGTTAATTTGTATCATCAAACACTGTATAATAAAAATTATCATACATTTATACAAACAAACCTATAAATCAACATTGCTATAGATTTCTGACGATTTTCTCACCACGGTGGACAATATCCTCGATAACAGAGTGGAGGATATATTTGAAAGTCAACAGAAAAAAAACACTTCTTCAAGGTACATAAGTAACCAAAAATTATACTCAAGAACTTTAAAACTTACTTTACAAGTCTTGATAACATTAGGTCTATTTTTCCCTGTCACTTAGCAAGTGATTATTAGTAAAAAAATATTAGTAATACGAATAGGCAGTTACCATGGTCACGAATACCAGACACAGCCAATGATGGGAAATGGCACTAAACGTCAGAACTAAAAAAATATATTTGCTGGTAGGTTGCGCGCACGATGTCTGTAGTTACTAGGAATGCAAGTTTTGCAGTTAAAAAAGGGAAAATAAAAAAGACGATGAACGTTTACGTTAAATTGCGGGTCGTAGTATCGTGACAATCAATATTTTTAATATACACTAGCGGTTAAAAAGAATTGATTATAGGAGAAGCGAATAAAGGAGTGGGCTTCATAAGCATTTTGGACAATTCTTTCAATCCAAGCACTTCATTTTTGAGATGCATGCAACCTGTCATACCTCCAAGATAATCAAGCAATGTTTCCAGGAAGAGGGATCGACACAAATAGATTGGCCTGCACAATCAAAGACTAATCTAGTGTATATTTACTCGTATGTGCTGTTAGAGGGACAGTTACGTTCATTTGAAAGCACTTTTTTTAGCAGTTTTTTTACCTCTAGTATATTTTTAAAACGTACAATGAAACAATGAAGCATGGCAGTTTCATGCAAAAAAATACTCAAGATTGAGAAAAATCTTTGCAGACTGTAGTGGCGTAGCCAGTCTAACCATTTAGTCCTGCTATGTAAATTTCAATTTACTATCATTCTTCACCTATTCGGAAACTCATTGTTTTTCGCAATTCTTGTGATATTACGTATCTAAACAAGGGTTCCATGCCTACGTTATGCAGCGAATACTAGAAGATTTAATATGCATGTCAATCAAAAATAGTATTCAACTGACTGATTATCCAATCTTTTCATCCAATTCCACTGTGAAAACGTTCGACTAAAACAGGCCTTTTTTCAATATCATTGAACAAATGAGTTAAATTAAGACAAGCATTTAGGAGCCTACTAATCAACATTTGCCATTCAAATGTTTATGCAATAAATTAGAAAACATTTTCGGTACTGATACTAATTAGCCTCTCTCATATATGAGGAATATTTGAGACCGTTTTAGGAATAATTTAGGACTAAAAGATAAAGACGTGCAACCGCTGTGAGCCTGTGATGAAGTCGTACGCTTACGTCATATACAACTGAATTGATCCCTTTTTATCTACAGGATTGTCCAATCTTTGAATAATTTCGCAGAATCATTGATTATCAGTTATGACAGAACGTTTCAAAAAGTTAAAAGGAATTATGCTCTAAATCTGCAAGCAATACAACAGCGAAACTTCAGTGGGATAACATTTTCCGGGATAGTGAGAAAAGAAGAAGCATTCTTGGAGAATAACAGCATTTCTATCGTATATAATGCTTGTTTGTCATGCAGTTTCTCAACATCACTCGTTGTTCCACGAACAATATTCAGCGAATTACTAAAAAATTCCAAAAATCAAACGTTTGTTTTCGTCTTCTATAAAGAAAATAAATTCTTCAGAGTTTCTTTGGAAGATGCGATCGAGCGTTTGAATAGTTTTGTGATTGCTGGAAGCATTAAGGGATTATCAGTTGCAAATCTACAGACGCCAGTTAAAATTGCTTTTGAAAAGGTTTCCAGAGGAGACACGAACAGTACTTTGTGTTCTTACTGGGATTTTAGTATAGGGAATTGGTCTCATGAAGGTTGTTCGTTTCAACGCATTCTTGATGATAACAGAATCCTTTGTCATTGTAACCATTTTACGAACTTTGCAATGCTAATGGTAAGCCGTTTACACAGTATTTCTATACGACTTTTTCTGTAACATTACCGAGTGTCCGTCTTACCGCGTAAATAAACAATAATTATTGACCGAGATTGGCTGATTAGGTGATTACGATTAACTTAAATAACAAATTTTTCGCCTGCTGTATTCAAACCCAGTAGTGCAGGTAGCCTGGGCGATGATTTACTTTACGGCTACGCGATTCCCACCCTGGATTTTAATTGGGGTTATGGCAAACGAGTTTGGTGACCCCCAATTTTCTTTTCATCAAAAGTTGACACTATATAGATGCTTTATTAAATAAATTCTAAAATAGGCGTTTATATCAAAGAGCCAAAATAATTGTTTTTGAAACAGGAAAGGTCGCTTTTAAAACTTCTATCCATTAATAAGACAGATCTATATAAGACAGATATATTATATATATATATATATTATATATATATATATATATATATATATATATATATATATATAAATCGATGAAACTGTATTTGACGGCCATATCGAAACATCTCTGGTGCTAAAGCAACGATGGGGCATGAGTACGAACTTGGGGGTATTTTAACGCATAATTATATATGCCATTGGCCAATAAAAACACGAATATTTTTCCAAGGTAACTGTGATTGATTTACTGGGACTTGTTAATGAGTGTTACAAACAATATACTACATATGCATGCATGATATTTTGTATCAATTACCCATGCCTTAAATGTGCAAGGACAGTAACTTCTCCGCTATAACAGTGGAATGAAGTATTTCTTCTGCCTCTTTACAGGACATCAACCCACGTGCAGATGCCACTACTATTCATTATAGAATACTTGGAGTGACCAGCTCTATCGGATGCGCGCTCTCGTTGGCTGGACTTCTTTTGACGATTGTGACGATGCTCTTGTCGAGGTACTGTAAAAGAAAAATTTAATTTTACTTTATAGTTAACATATCCTGAAGCAGGACAAGGGACAGAAATAAATGGAGTGTGATTTAAAACTTTATACATATATTTGCAAGCACATCGAGTTAAGCTTTTGCATTTTTGTTCTTTACAAAAGAATGCGGCTATTACGATTTTACTTTGAGATGTAGTGCACATTTACTTCCACAGGCACATACCTCAATCATCAAATTAAAAAACATCGTATTTGATATTTCACTATATCTTGTATTTTAGGGAGCAACGTAAACAACTTCCAAGCCAAATTTTGTTGAACTTTTGCATTGCTTTGTCACTAATGATTATGGTACTTCTGGTGTCGGACAATATGCTTAAAAAATCGACATTTACCGCTTGTCGAGCAGCGGCGATCGCCTTACATTACTTCTTCTTATCAGCGTTCTTGTGGATGGCAGTGGAAGGGTTTACCATGTATCTAAAAATCATTAAGATATTCTCTGCCTCGTCCAACTCTAAGTTCTTGCTGAAGTGCTGTCTTTTTGCCTGGGGTAAGTCTGCAGAACCTATTGCCTCATAAGGCTGGAACTGGTTGCTTAGTGCTAATAATAATAACAATAATAATAATAAAGAAATAACAAATGTTTGACGACATTTACCTTTTCTTCGTTCGTCTGAATAGAAGACAATTCCAACAATATCAATAAACTACCACAACTAACAAAGCATGAAAAACGTCTTTAAATCGTTTTACTTTCTGCTGTTGTCATGTCCAGCGGTTTAATTATTACAATCTTTTTAACTTAACAGTGATTTCTTTGCCCGTCTTCCCTCTTTAGTATTCTCGTCTTTTTATTTCAGGAATCCCTGCTTTAATTGTAGTGATTACAATACTTGCCGCTATTGATAAATATGGGGATACAAATTAGTAAGTAGAATAGTTTACTCATTTAGTACAGCTCGCTGGATGTTTTGTAAAAAAATCCATGAAATAGTATGGAGTTTATAATAACCATAACAACTGCCAATATTAATAAAGTATGGAAACATATTTGTGTAGCATACTGATCTCTATTGCATAGATTTTTGAAAAATTTTCCGGGTTAAAACAATACAGCACGATCGCGGGTGCTTCCCAATTAAATTCTATGAGTATGTTAAGCAAAACCCAACTTGGACAACTACCTTCTCAAATCCTAAGAGCAAAAATAATTTTGATCATGCTGACTTTTCAGGTGATATTCAGATTTAGATACGAACCTTATTTAACTAGTAGATCATCTAAACATGAATTTAGAACAGCCTCAAAATCCATGGGACGTTTTTGAATAACTGCTTTATATTACTCTTTTTAGTTGTCGACTACAAGGAATACCATTCATTGTAGCATTTCTAGCTCCAGCTGTTATTATCTTCGTTGGTAACATCATATTCTTTGCTTTTATCATTCATTCATTGCGCACTTCTGGTAACAATATTACCTCAACCCGTAAAAGGTCTGGTTACCAGCAAGCTAGGCAAGGAATTGCAATCACGGTTCTACTTGGCTTAACGTGGCTTTTTGGCATTCTGGCAATTGGTGATGCTAAGCTACCAATTCAGTATTTGTTTTGCATTTTCAACTCACTCCAGGGATGGTTCGTGTTCATCTTCTTCGTTCTTATACCTGCAAGAAAAGAGCAGCTGCGTAAACGTCGCCAGAAAAATAATAATGTCCACCTGCAAGGTTTTAAACTCCGAGCGGCAGCAGAAGGAAACCATCAGAATGGTCATACCAATAATGCCATAACAGATACGCACACCACTTGAACAAATATTCCTAGTCGTGTCCCTTGGTTTACATTTTGTTATCCTACATTTTTTAACTAATTGATTTTACTGTAGTTGTAAGACTCTACAGGGTGTATCAGAAAAAGTGCACAATTTTGAAATATTTATTAAACTATGTATATTGAAAATGAATTTTCATTTTATGGAATGAAGGTTTAGCTCTTTATTTCCGAAAATTTGATGAGAAATAAGTTCGCCACGCAAATTTATAACGCGTGAACCTGGGTTTTTTTGTCTCAACTCATAGCTTACGCTAAAGACCACTGTTAGCGTTGTCACCCAAGCAATCATTCATTCATAAGATAATTCAAGCATTAAGGTGGAGTTTTGTAAAAATTCTAGATAGCCGGTTTGTTGTACCGAATTAAACATCAATATTGTGGACTAAAGATGAATAATACTTTTGATTATACAGTACGTTACGCATGAGAAAGAAAGCCGCTGCTATACAGGCAATGAGGTTTCAACAATCAGGTTTGAAATCATTTCGTGAATTCTTCGGCGAATTTTTTTAATCTTTCTCCGAATGCTTTGCAAGTTATTTAGTATAAACCACCCAACAATTTAGAGATCTATCGATAGGATTCTTTTTAATTTCGTAAAACCATGATTTTACACTTTAATTTTATTTGTATTGATAACTTTTTCTTAAAATTGTCCTGTCAATCACTAACCATCTGGTGAAACGCTCAGTGGAAAAAGAAGAGATTTCACCGAAGAGTTTGTGAAATATCGTAATCGTAATGTAATGATAATTGGTGGCCATATTCAATAGTTTCTTATTTCGAACATAGTATTCAATGCGTTAAAACTAATTTTGATCTATAGTTTACAATGTTGGTGCTTTCCTACATCCTCAAACCTGCACGTTAAAAAATTCTAAAAACCCTAGGGAGCTCGCCTAAAAAGTCGCGGAAGCGCAAGCCATGAGTTGAGACCAAAAATAACCAAGTTTACGCATCTGCATGGCGTACCTATTTTTCATCAATTTCTCTTAAATTTCCATATTTTGTAAACAAAAAGCTAAACCTCCATTACTTAAAATCAAAATTCATTTTTAACAAGTTATCCATGCTTGCACAAGCCATTCAAAGTCAGGTTTTTAAAAACCCCTCTCCCGTTTTTTGAGGTTAAACTTCTTGTTTGTTTTTAGTCTTACATTGAGTTGACGATGCTTAAATACCCAAATTTGCACGATTCTATGAAATATTTTGATAACTTTATAGTTTACTAAATATTTTTTTCTATTATCTATTTCTATTATCTATTTTTTTCGGATACACCCTGTATAGTAGGTAGAAAAATGCCCCGTGTATTCTTAAAGCTCACCCCATCTAAAACTCAACTGGATACGAGACCTGGATCACATCATAGCGATTCCTCTGCGGCATTTCCACTCGAGTATAAGAGCTGGACTTTCAAATGTTTGACTTAAATCTTTCCATTGAATAAGAAATTACTATGTCATTGATCGGCGATATTGCACAATTTCTTTGTCGCACTTAATAAGTGTACGTGTGAGTGACCTTTTTGATACAGGCGTTAAAATGGATTACGTACACTCTTATAAGGCCTTACATGCAAATTAATAACTTTATAGTTAATGAATGCATAGCACGATGAGCAATTCTAATTAAATATGTTGTAAAAAGCATGCATTATTATTAGCGTTCTAGAATTACTGCATACTGTGTTGTTTGTGCTTTTAGCCGGAGAAAGTTTACAAATGAAAGTAGATGCGCGCAGCCGTTTAGTTTCTATCGCGCAGAATATGCGTGCAGTCGTTTAGCTTGTCGTTTGCCAGAAAACAGTCCCACCCGCAGCTAATGTTAAGTAGTCGAAGTTAGCGCAAAGAAACAGGAAGTTTAATGAGTGGCTGAACGCCAGTAAGATGGTCACAAATATGTCACATGCGACGACGATTTATTTCAATTGCCCAAAATGGCCGCGTGGGAGAATAATTTAAAACCGAATTTAAAACTCTCGCTTTAGCTCGAGCTCGAGTAATAAAAGTCTGACAGGACTGTATTTTTGCAAGAAACTATCGTCTTTAAATTGAAAATTACGCCCTAAAAGTTTGCAATAAAGCGCTGCGAAGTTTTAATATTCTAATAATAAATTAAATGTTCCATGTTGCTCGTACATTTAGGGATTGATAGTACTCGTACTATTTGAGATTAAACACTAAAAGCGAACGCTGTTCAGTTGGACAAAAGAAAAAAATCTGAAGAATTATGTTACGCTTCTATAAACACAGGCAAAGAGACATTAGAACATGATGGAAAACATTAATTAATACAGTGATGTTGTTTCGAAATTACCAGAAAGGTCTTGATTTACTCCTTCAAATCTTTATTTTACTGCACTTATAATTAACGAATTTTCCAATTTAAATTATATGTAGTATAGTTATAACTAAATAACTGAAGACGACGCAGTTTCACTCCTTTTTTGAAGAAAAAAATCTTTGGGTGGTTTCCTGAATCATGTTATCTCCAGTTATATCAACGTATTTCTTCTTCATAACTTCTTCGTAAGCCTCATTTGTTAAGTAGTGAAGATGTGGCTTTTCGTCTTCTATTGCTTCAAGGATACACTTTGCGACATCATCTCCACTTTGGCCAGCTTTAATTCGGCTTTGTTGAAATGCTTCTATCACTTTCATAATAAGACCTTTAGTTTCGTCGTCGCCGTTCTCTAAGCCGTCTATTCCTTTCGACTGTACTGTGCCACCAAACGCAGTCGCCACAGGACCAGGCTCAATCAATGAAACGCTGAAATATAATACCATGTATTTAAAAAAAAATCAGTTTAATGGTTAACAGGCCAACAGTAAAACTCGATGAGCTAAATATGGCTTTCATAGAGATATTAGCAAAGTGAAGTCAAAAGGACAATATAAAAAGTAGAAGCGTTTGCAAACAAGGGGGAACGTCGTTTTAGACCAGCAAGTTTGGTTATATTTTCAATAGCCTAATCAGAATATACAAATTTCGACCACTTCCGGTAAAAGATACATTATTTACTATTTCACATGAAGTATTAAAAAATTAGGCGTTCTGATTTGGCTTTGCCTGAAAAACGTAAACAAATATGCCGATTAGTTTAAAACAAAATTCCATTTTGTTTTCTGCCAAATTACTTTGACGACGATAATCATACTGACTACAGCTGATGCCATCCACTTGAGGTCGAATGGTTCAATAAAATACGAATGGCTATTCCGTTTCTTTTTTGGATCTTCAGCTTTGCACAATATGGAATATAGCCTTTCAATTTGTCGTTACCAGTTGCTCAATTAGGTTTTAGATCTAGTGCTTTCAATGCGCATGAACGTAGTGAAGGAAGGGCTTACAAACATTTTGTAATATAATGAGTAAACTGACATGAACCAAGCGAATATATCTCAACAATTTTTGGTGCACCTACGAATGTTGGGTCATATGATAAAACCAAAAACGTTCTCATACTCATGTTTAACGGGACTTTGTATCAATAATGGGCTTCTGTGCCTTGGTCATTTTCACTAATGGGTCGTGAATGTAATCTTTGTGTGGTGATTACTTTTCATTAATCAAACCAGAGTAGCGATGATTGTACACCTGATTGCCGTGAACTTAATAATTTTAATTACAGGTGCAATGCGTGAACAAGCGTGGTCGCAATTAACCATTTTAATCCAATTGTTGCAATTGTTTTACTGCAAGACATACCGAAAATACCAGTAAGTTGAAATTTGGAAAAGATCTCTTTGGTGAAAAAACATAGCACGATGAGTCTTAAGGCCCGTTCACATCATCACCTTTTTCGGATCCAATTCACTTCTGACATATGGAATGTAGTTTGCTATTGATAAAGCAGTACTCCATTGCATGACTTTAGTTAATTTGCTGTCCATATATGTTGCAAGTTAACAGACTATAAAACATCTATTATAAATGGATCTGACAAATTGAATCGTATGTACAGACCTTTGGATTTTATATTAATTGTTGATCGTATATAAAAAATATTTCTGTTTTCGCAGTAAGTATTTCAATGGCGTGCATACTTCAACGACTTTAAACTTTAGTATTACTAACTTCATGTTAAACAACATGCTGGGAAATTACGCTAGCAAAGAAATGGCAGTAATGATTTTGGATAAAGTGGAAACATACAGTCATCGATGAATATAATAAACGAATGTCTTTGTTCAGGCTAACAATAAATCTGAAATCACTATACTCACTGAATGTTAAATTGTGCAAGTTCTGGTGCAAGAGATTCGCTCAAACCGTAAACGGCGAACTTCGTCGAACAGTAAACAGCATTAAGAGGAACACCTATGAGACCACCAATGGAACTGACCGTGATAATATGCCCACTCTTTCGCTTCTTCATGGACGGCAGTACCGTACGTATCGCATGAATCACGCCGTAAACATTCGTCTCAAAAACATCCTTAATTTTATCCATTTGTTGGTACTCCAGGGCACCAAACGCACCAATTCCAGCATTGTTAACTAAATGTTCAAGAAAATTGTGTTGAGGAATTACACCTGGGTATTGCGACAGATCATTAGCAAAATCCAACATTGGACAGCGGACGGTCACAAAGGTTGTAATAAAGGTTCCCATAAATGTTATCAGCTGGAAATAATACAAATACGTAAATATCGATCACGTGATTGTACTGCATACGTTGATTACTCCGGCGTGAGCGACGGAGTTGAAAAAACGTCTTGGTTTGGTGTTGTTTTGTTGTTTATTTTTATACTAGTATTTGAAATGTGTAGATAACCGTATTTATCTACGTCACAGTTTTGTCTCTCAAGAGTTGTGGTGCACCGCTTTGGCTAATTTTCCGATGCGCGATTTGATTTCGCTCGCATGATACGGCATTCCTCCAAGAGGAAGAAATAAACCATTCTTTTGATGCTGTTCGATTAAGTTTAGATTTAATTGCATGGGGTAAGAATATATGTATTTAATAGATGTAGATTCTGGTCCTATTTTAATAATATCGCTGCTATTTCGCCGTTTAACAAGATGATGTGGTCGTGTATGGGCGCATTGACACGTCGCAGTTTGCACAGGATTGAAGATTCAATATAACTATATAAGCGCGGATTCCAAAGGCAAAGTGTAAGACAAAGTGAACGTATCATGCGGTTTATTTACATTATTTTTTGATCAATTGAACTTTTATACTTTTTAAAGTAAGATGTGTTTCTGAATTTCGCGATCGAACAACATTTAGTTTGGCAAGGCATCTAAATGAGTATGAGCTGTATTGTTTACGTTCAGATACAGTATTGCAAGCAAGGATAGTGCTAAGTTTGTACAAATTTACAACGAAAGCACTAGTTTGGATAAATCATACTCAAAAGTACTTAAATTACGTTTGCCGCGATACTCCGATTATTGCTGCTTGCCCTTAGGCAGCACACTATTCTTGACCCAACATTACCGCAGAGGAGCAATGTGGTAAACTGAATCACAAGAATGACATAGTTACTTCATTGTTTGGTACGAACTTGGCAAAAGAGCCAAAGATTTGTTAAATAAGACAAGTAAATAAGGGCCTTAATCTTCTGACAAAAAATCGCTATAAACCAATATCAAATTCACCCCCATGAATGACTGAGTCGTTTTGACCAGGAATGATTGAGTCGTTCACTCATCACAATATCGATAAAAATATCAATAAAAACGACCATATATCGGTAAGGAATTTAAATTATCAATGCCTCTTAATATTCAAGCATATATTTGGTACAAACTTCCCTTGAAACAGCTACATGCATGGTATAGACAACATAACCAGGAAGCAGCGTGGCAGCGTCTTCAAACAACTTAGCATGAATACTAATTCTCCTGACGAAGGCCCTCAGGTCGAAACGTCGAAAAGTGTTTTGTCTATTTTAGGCAGTTGTTATACCACATTTGATGCTATAGACAATATAGCTAGATACATACTGTAGGTTGGCTATAATTCTACGTAAATGACATATTTTTCGCGAAAACTTTCCTATGTCTTGTCGACTATTTATATTTATTGACTAACTAGTTTTTTTCGTGCGGGCTTGCAATACTGGCAGCCAACCACCCGGCGAACATTACAGAGGGGGCTGAAACCTCAAGTTTTCTCGTTCAACTCGGTGCAAACTAAAGTGGAGCCTGAATTAAAAGAACGGGAACTCGGAATTAAACCTAACATTGTGTTTGATCAGCTCACCGAATCAAGCGGCAATTTTTCCACAATAGACAGTTCCATACGACCATAGAAATAAACGCAGCCTAAAATTAGATATCTGAAGGATTCAATTTCAAAAATTTTTGCAGTTTTGACCAGCTGTCAGGTGGACATTCATATGCCCTAAAAGTTTAGGTTCGTACTCCTATATACTTGTGAAATATATAAGCTTGATACTGTTTTATAATATTACTAGGCTTCTATCCATCAAATACAAGCACTACAAAAGTCAGTCCCATTAAACTCACTGTAGGACACTCCAGAACACATAGCATGGCGCCGCTGTACTTAAACTGTTCAGGTTTTGGGAGAGTTAGGCCATTTTCACTACTTCTAAGATAATGAATATTTTTCACATTCCTTTTGAAGAGTTTAAAAGTTTAAAAAGATTCCTTTAGACCTGGGTTAGCACTTCATACATAAATATGGCTTTGGAATTTTTCTTCTGTTATTGCATGAGTGTTTCCCAGGACAGCTAGGTCATTAAAAATGTTTAGTGACCTATCATCATATCATTTAGTATTAGTTACTGTATTATATTTCTACTCCTAAGCTTTCAAAATGAATGGATTTCAAAGTGTATAACAATGATAGTTTGAATTATATTATATAGCCAGCCAGATGAAGCTTCTTGGCCTAGTTTTATCTTGGCAGAGACCAGAGAGTGGGTAAAAACTGGAAAAGTTAACTGTAACTTCAAAACTTTATATAGATATTAGTTGACATAATGCTAATTTTTGCTACATCCTTTGCTTAGATCTCTCCCCAGAGTCGTACAGCGGTAAACAATTAATGAAAAGAGTAAGGCATTTGACCACTACCATAGAGAAATAATTAGGGGTATGGGGAACAAATGAGGATTCGTAGGGTGTCATATATGGGGCCAACCTTTTTTTAGCTAACTGATTCACATATTATTCCAGGTTTGTTCCTTACTCCCCTTTCCCATAACTGTATACTTGATTCTATTTATTTTAATATACTGTATCAGCCTAACCAATTGAAATATAATAAAATTCTGTATCTAAATCACATTGGTGTACAAAGTTGGTTAACATTGAGTGAGGAGGAGCATGTTTTGTGAGGCACCGCCATCTAGATTTTTGGAAACAGCCTCTGTAAGCATGATCGAATAACCAATTTTAAGAAATAATCTGGCATTATTAACTATTTGAGAAATTTATTTGAATTTCATGCTCTATTTTTTTTAACAATGCTCTATTTTTTTAACCAAACACTTGACCAACTTTTAAACATTGCTGAGTATTGTTTGTCATATCCCCATACCCCCCCTTGGTTAGTGACATCATTAGCATAGAATCAAGTAATACAAGCAGTGGATGTAAACGGGGTGAGAGATTATTATGTGGTACTTAAGACCTAAAAGCTGCATATTTTCACATGGTTCTTGGAGTTACCTGTGTTCTTATTTGGCATATTCGCTTAGTTTCAAGCAGTTGGCTTTTATTAATCTAATAATCTGAAACTAATATATCCACACTCATGTTGCACAGGAATGATCAATTAATGATACAAAAATGTAGATATATTTGCCACCAAGCGCTGCAATTAGCCAGCACATATCATTAAAAGTATCTCCTCTTGTTGTACGTTAACCTCTATACTTAGACAAAGGGAACTGTCCGATACTGGCAGTCTGCCCTGAACGCGCAACATCTCAAATACATAAAGAGTCAGGATATTAGATCTACGTATAAAAAAATTTATAACATTACCTAAGACATCGACTCTTCCATCAGTATCCAGAACATGCTTGACAGCTGCGTTCACTGAACATTCTGACTTAACATCCATCTCAAGGATAAACAGTGTTTTATCGACACAATCCCCGGCTTTTGTAACCAACCCATCCTTCTTAGTAAGGTTTCTCATGCAAGCGTAAACTTTAAATTTCTTGTCCGCATTCTTAGCGAGAAGAACTGCAGTGTCTAAGCCGATTCCAGTGGAACATCCAGTTATGATTACAACACGTTGCGCCATATTTGATATTTAGTCTTTTGGAATTTTGTGTAAGACTAAAATTTCGAAATTATGTGGATACCTAATACCTATCCAAACATAATTTGTGACTTTGCGCAATAATGCCAAAATTGCCAATAACTCCTCCCACATCCGGGCTGAGAAAAGTTGCGGGTATGGGTGCCACGGGTTGCTAATTCGGGTTGTTGATACGGGTTGCGGATGCGGATGCTGAATGATGAAATGAACGATGCAAATGCAAATGAAATTTGATGACGATCTAGGCGATGAAGATAAATTAGTTAATGTTACACGGAACAACTTCCAACATCAACCCGCAACGCAACAATGTTTCGAGAAAAAGGTTTACGCTTCGAACATGGTGCATAATATATCATACTAGACATACATGCAACCCTCGCCATTTCAAACGAAGCAAATAATTTTCTGAGCTAGCTACACCAAAGGTTATAATGAATTGACTCGAATGAGTCGATAGAAGATATTTCTATCAGTCTGTAAGAAAATAGTAAAAGTGGAGTAAATATTGCACGTTATTCTGCTGCATTATTAAAGCAGACAGTCTATGGCCCCTCGCAGATTAAGTAAATGTTAAATACCGTTAGAAGCTTCAACCATCAAAACGGTCTAAGCGTCAACTGTTATGTCTCGAATATTAAATCAGTAATTTCCCTCGGCGACATTTGTTTCGCCACAATTCGAAATTTAATTTTGAAAACCCCTCAGTTTAAAGCGACTCATAGCCGGTTATATATATCTTTGCAAAATTACATGCTCGAACGGCGAATACGGAATAAACGAAATAGACACCTACTTACAGATTATGAATCGTTCTTTGGTCACGGCCTTGTCTTTATCCTTCACATTTTATTTTCAATAAATTTCACAAAACATTTTTAAAAATAGTTGACAAAATGACAGTTAAGTTGATGACATTCTCGTTTTGTTTAATAGAATTTATAAAAACTTTTTGTCTTAGCTAATCAGCGGGATGTTGTTTGCTGATTATCAGTCTTTACTCGTATACATGACCATTGAACGTGGTCCAAGACCAAGGCATGACCAATCGGTCCATGGCTTAGAATTTCGCAACTTTGGACAATATCCTGTCGCAATACGCGGGTGTAATTCCTAATTTCCTTGCGCGTTAGGTAAATCGTTTTAGGACGTTTCTCGCTAGAAAAAAATATGCCTTTTAAATCATTTTAGTTTATACAGTAATAGTAGCTTTCAAATCCTTTTGCTTGATTTTAAATATCGTATAGGAATTTTTGAACAGAATAAATGGACCTCACTAATCACTATAAGCCATGTTACACCGTGCAATTTTTTTTGCAATTTGCAATGCAATTCTACGTCTAAGGGATGTAAATTATTTAAGAGTCTTGCGGAAGAAAAGTGCATGAAGTGTAATAAACACAAAAGTTTCGCTTTCCGAACTATACATCTCTCAAAAGTAGAATTGACCAAGCTCATTATTGTCAGTAAGACATGTTTACAAATTTTATTGTACACAAAAATCTTGAATTGTACACAAAAATCTTAACTCGAAATAACGAAATACTGACTGTAACTGATTATTTCCAAACTCCCACGCGTTTTTTTATAGCTGTATATAAAGGCGGAAAATTTTTTCCTATTCTTAATTAAGCACCTTAAACACGATTTCCATTCTCAAGTGCTTTTATGAAGTGCTCACAAAACTGTTTTTTTAATTCAAGCACTTTTCAAGAGGTTTAACTCACTCCCCGTCGGGTCAATATTGCTCCCGACAATATTGTTGGGAGTAAGCAAAACATTAAATATCTCAGCAGGTATTTTGGCTAAAGACCCCAGAATACCACCAAACGATAGAGCTTGAAAAGATGATTTAAATAGTATTTTCAAACCCGCATATAGTAATAAACTGCATTTGTATTATAAGTCAAAACATGAGTCAAAAGAATAGTTTGCTTTGTTATCTCAAATTACTTACCCATAGCAACCATATGCTTTAGAAATCCAGTTTTTTCAAGCTTTTTGGAGTAAAATCTTGCAATGTTTATCTTCAACGTTTAGACGTTTCCGTACACAAAACGTCTAAATATCTCACACTTACCTCTTTTAGTTAGTAAAGTGTAAGAATGTAGCTCAAAGATTGGTACATTCCATAAAGTGAGCAATATCTGGTGCTGTCAGAATATTTTACCATTTTTGCGTTGCTGCACCTTTCAATAAACATGAGCTGGATATGTTTAGAAAAATAGGAGAAAACAGTTTAGCGAGGCAATTGACAAAAGCTCCGTCGCCCCGATTACAAGGTTCACGTATCTTTCACGGAGTTACTCGAAACCAAGGCGAAGCGTTGCGTCGAAGCCTTGCCTTTTAACCCGGAGGGGTAAAATCGAGCGAAATTAAAGCAATTTTGCTAGACAAATACGGTAAAGAGTACGAAATTATCAAGTTTTACGTGAAAGAAATCCTAGACCTGCCCATTGTGACGGGAACCAACCCTCGTAAGATCGCGGAATTTCATGAGAAACTTTCGAACTCAGTCCAAGCGCTTCAAACGATGAAGAAATTGCATGAAGTTAACGGAAATGTTTCGATGACACTTGACAAATTACCTGGTATCAGGGGGGACTTAGTCCGAACAGATCCCGCTTGGGAGTCATGGGATTTTACTAAGTTAGTCGAAGCTCTTATGCAATGGGTTAAACGAAACCCTGCCTTCTAACGAAAGGGAACGGGAAGAGAACACTCGTAAGAAACTGTTTAACGCACGGGGGGATGATGCTAGAGTAAGAGGATGCATGCGTATATTGCAGGGACATCGGTAATGCAATGCGAGACAATCGTTGAGACGAGCGACCGAAAGAAGATTCTTGCAAAAAAGGGGTTGTGTTTCAACTGCGCTATGAAACGGCACCGAGCAGCAAATTGCCCCAGCAAGTCATCCTGCCAACATTGCGAGCGATGACGAAATATTTCCAGTGGTAGTTGTGAAAGTAAATGGCGTTATGTGTCGGGCATTGATAGACTATGGCGCCGGGAGCTCCTACGCGTCGGCGAATTTACTTCATACGATTGGCAAAACCCCAAGCGAAGTTAAAATGCAGCGCATCGACATGCTCATGGCCTCGAAAACAACACGCGTAGAAATATACGACGTCTAAGTATGTTCCTTGGACGGAAGCTTCAAAATAAACGTGAAACTCTTGAAAGTTAGCAAACCCGAGTTGTTGCTTGTACAAAATCCAAACTACAAGCAATTATTACGCAGGTACGACCACCTGCAAGGCGTTACTATGGACGACGACGACACGAAACCACAACTCCCTATACATTTGGTCCTGGGAAACGGCGAGTACGCGCGCATCAAGCCCAGCAGTAAACCGTTAATCGGGAGAGATGCTGAGCCCGTGGCTGAGAATACGAAGTTCGGGTGGGTGATAATGAGCCCTGGGATGGAATTCGAGCGTAGTAGGATGCTTTTGACCCAGACTTCGCAATCGGACTTCGACCGGCTTTGCATATTGGACGTGCTTGGGCTAGCAGATTCCACAGAAAGCGACCAAAATCTCGTCTATGAAGATTCAAGGAGCAATTGTGTCGAAGTCCATCTGGTTACTTCGAAGCTAGCCATCCTTGGAGAGCGAACCACCCTCCATTACCGACTAACGAGACCGGGAGTCGCCGACGATTGGCCACATTAGTGAGGAAGTTAAAGAGAGATGGTAATTACGAACAATACAACAAAATTATCAATGAACAACTCCAACAGGGAATCATCGAAAAGGCCCCAATCGAGCCGACGGGCAAGGAGCATTACCTTCCTTACAAAGCGGTTGTAAAGAAGTCGACGGAAACGACAAAGCTACACATCGTCTACGACGCCTCAGCGAAGGAAGAGAGAGATCAACCGTCCATTAACAAGTGCCTTAACCCTGGTCCACAACTGCAGAATCTCTTATGGGAAATCCTTGTTCGAGCACGATTCTATCCAGTCCTGTTAACGAGTGACATTGAAAAGGCATTTCTTCAGGTGCGAATAAAAGCTGAGGAACGAGACGCCCTGCGATTCCTGTGGCAGAGTCCTGGAAGTGATGAAGTAACGGTATACCGGTTTACACGGGCGCTGTTCGGTTTGACATGTTCTCCGTTTTTACTCGGAGGAGTCATCAATGAGCATTTAAAGCACTGGGAAACGAAATATCCGAAATTGGGCGAAGAAATTGTGACAACTTGTACGTTGATGATTTGGTTACGGGGGGAGAGGACGTGGAATCAGTGAGAACAAAAAGATCGCAGGCACTCGAGGTGTTCGAAGACGCGACATTTAATCTTCATAAATGGCACTCGAACGATTCCACCTTCGAGAACCACGACTACCTAATCCATCCAAAGAAGATTTGACCCACGCTAAACAACAGTTGGGATCACTCGAATGCGAAACGAAAATCTTAGGACTGCCGTGGAATAAAGCAGAAGATACCTTGGCCGTTCCTTCCTCGCCACAAAACAACATTTCTACGAAACGTGAAGCTCTGTCGGAACTTCCTAGAGTTTATGATCCACTTGGGTTAGTGTCTCCCTGTACATTGATTGCAAAGATGCTGTATCCTGAGATGTGCGAAGCGAAACTCCCATGAGATGGCAAGCCCAACGACCGATTTAAGCAACGGTGGAAAGAATGGGGAGCCCTAATCTCGGAGAAATTTACCATACCTCGCACCTTGGCCCCAGCCCGCTAATCCATTTCAGCCGTTACCCTTCACGCCTTTGGTGATGCGAGCACATCTGGTGTGTCGTCAGCCGTGTACGCAATAGTACAACCGAAGGGGAGATCAAAACTCAATGTCTTGTTTGCACAAAATCTCGCTTGGATAAGCAAAACCTGACCATACCTCGCCTCGAGCTAGTCGTAGCGCACACGGCAGCCAATCTTGTGTCAAATGTCGAAAAGGCTATCAGCAACTGTGACAAGATTGTTGAAACCCATTGTTGGAGTGACTCCACCGTCGCTCTTCATTGGATAAATGGAAGCGGAGAATACCGACAGTTTGTAGCGAATCGCGTCAAGAAAATTCGAGATCACGATCAAATTCAATGGCATAACGTACCGACAAAGAAGAACCCCGCGGACATCGGCAGTCGCGGTGTAAGTACGGTCAACAATGACGTGTGGGTAAACGGTCCAGAATGGCTAAGCGACCCCAATAACTGGCCTACGCCTACAGTTATCGAATCCAATATCAAACACCGAAGCGAAAGTTGTGAAGAAAATTCTTGGAAAAGTGATGGCGAAAGATGGCGATAGAATGAATGACCTCCTCGAAGCGCGCAACCTACGTAAAGGCGATTCTCCATTACGCACGCTCCGCCCGCGCGGGCGAGGCGCGCTTTGTTTTTCAGGCCGGTCACGTTCTCACGGTCTCATGGGCAGATTTTCAAAAGCCGCTTCGCCCGCGCGGGTGAAGCGAACGGTAATGGAGAATAGCCTTAAGGTCCTTCGCGTCGGAGCGTGGATACGATGGTTCATCAGAAACTCGAATGCCCCGTCGATGAACGCGAGTCCGGCCCTCTTGAGACAAGTGAAATTCAGCGCCAGTATCTATGGTGGACCCGAAGAGCGCAGCAAGATGCCGTAACTATACCGACGAGTTCGACACAGTAAGCGTTCAATTAAACTTGCAACCCAACGCCGAAGGGATCCTCGAATGCCGTGGGAGAATCGAGGGAGATTATCCTGTGTTATTTCCCCACCATCATGCCTTCACTCAGAAGCTGGTTAAAGACGCTTTTCGACACTTCACGGCGGGGTTAGCATGACGATGGCGAAAGTCAGAGATACGTATTGGGTGCCCAAACTCCGACAGCTGGTGAAACGGGTACGGAGCAACTGTTGGGGTTGTAAACGGTTTCGAGTGAAATCCTACGAGAACCCTCCACCTGGAAATCTCCCAGTCACCCGAACGCAAGGATCCACGCCAGTAATCGGTGTCGATTTCGTCGGTCCGATCCGGTATCGAACGAAGGGGAAAGCAACGAAGAAGGCGTACATTATATGGAGTTGAATGAGTTACTTTCCAGTCTCAAGCGATTCATAGCGCGACGCGGACGGCCAAAATTGATCTATTCCGACAATGGCGCAACGTTCAAGGCGGCGGGGAAGTGGCTGCGACGTGTCCATGCCGCGTGATGAGAAATTCAATTCATTTCTTTCCGACCGAATGATCAAATGGAGGTGCAACTTGAGTCGAGCACCTTGGTGGGGAGGGCAATTTGAACGGCTCATCGGGTTGTTCAAACGTGCCTTCTACAAAGTTATGGGCAACGGTATCCTCACATTCGCGGAATTGGAGAATGTCGTCCTAGACGTCGAGGTAGCGCTCAACAACCGCCCTTTGACCTACCTAGAGGATGACGTGGAACTTCCAGCCTTGACGCCCAATTCCATGTTGAACATTAACCCAGTGAGTCAAGTACCCGAGCTAAAAGCGAAGCAGTTGGAAGAAACGGATCTTCGGAAGCGAGCAAAAATGTTGAAGATGTGCAAACGGAGCTATGTGGCGCTGTTAGTCTCGTGAGTACGTTAAAAGTTTACGCGAACGTCACGTCAACGCAGCAGGGAAACAAGCGACATGTCCGAGGAAAGGAACAGCAGTCATCGTGGAGGGTGAAAACAAGAATCGGAACACCTGGAAACTAGGGATAGTCTCAGAGATTATTAAAGGCAAAGGCGTCGTGCGGGGTGCCAAGTTGAGAACAGCTAATGGCGAGTTGGAACGTGCTGTGCAGCAGTTGTACCCCCTCGAGCTGTCCTGTGACGACACCAATTTCCGGAAACCCAACCCAAATGCCCCAACCTTCCCACCTAGAGCCATCAGAGACGCGGCGGTCGCTGCAAGGCTACGGATACAGACCACAGCAGAAGATGATAGTAATGAACTTGACATTTGAGCTAACGTTAAAACATTCAGATATATGCATGGAAATATCACTAGAAAATTAATTTTATAGCATTTAGGGAACATTGGAACGAAGTCTCAATTGAACATATATCTTCTCTCGGAGCTATATGGGGGAGTGTGTTGGAGACTGACAGATATTGATTAAGTAATTCGATTAGGGGTTAATTGTGGGGAAATTAGGTTAGTTATTTGAATCCAATCAAACGTGTTAGTGTGATTGTGACCACGATGGTGAAAGGGTGTGTGTAAGACTGTGATTATTGTGAGACGTGCGATTAAACTTTATTAAATCTCTTTATTATTGTTAACCTGGGACTTGTCGAGGACTACGTAGTTTTGGGGGCAAACATTCTCGACAGTATTTAGAAAAGCAGCAAATTCAGCTTTGCCGTATGTGTTTCACATTCGGCGTATAAAATTTAGTACTTGAACGGCTGAGGGTGTTTGCAATGGTTTTATGGCATGTTCGTGATACCCATGCATGAGTATGTGTCAAATTTGAATCCAGAACTGAATAAAGGCACTATAGTTGTCAACAATGTGATAAAACAATTAGAGTTTTTTGTGATATGCAGAGTTATCAAGGTCGATGTACGCGTTGTCAGCCAAGCCAAAGGCGAGGCTGATAACGCTTACCGAGACCTTGATAACTCTGCATATCACAAAAACCGAATTCAATAATTGTTTTGTTACACATTTGAAGAAAAGTAAACATAGTATTAACGAATGAAAAACCTTATTTGATAGCAACATCCAAAAATACATCAATTATTAATACATAATAAATTCAAGTGCAATGAACAAGTTACTGGAAGTTAACAGTTAAATTATGACGATAAGGCATAGTAAATTTAATAATTATATCATTTGAGAATCTATCCATATCTTTTTGCTACGTTTGTAAACGTTTGTTTTCCTTTGATTGTATCAGAAATGAATACCGCTTGTTAACCACCACAGGCTCACTTGCAGATAACTCAGTTATCTGCTAGCAGATAACTGAATTTTGCGTGATTGCGCGATTGATCTGTCAACTATTAGCCAATCAAATTGCTTTTACTACTATAATGTATAATAATTTGTGATATTATCCGTCGGGCGATAAAACTGATATCACCTAAGGTGATAACTATATACTAAAATAAGCGGCGGCCAAGCAAGCCACCAACATACGCAGAAAGCAGATTTTTTCGGCCTTATCACATGCCTAGTTTCTATTTTGGGCTTTTTTTAGCTTATGTTTTCTATTAATTTTCCTAATTAGTTGCTGAAGGCGAAGTGAATATAAGCATAATCACAGAGCATGAGGTAATATCTAACAGTTCAAAAATGGCCTATAAAAAAATCAAAAATCACATAATAACTAGTACTGCTTGAATAGTCAAATCTCGCAGAAATATTCCCGTGCTGTACCACCCTTTCCGTTTAAGAAATTTTTAAAGTTAGGCAAGCAAGCGTTATGTCCTTTTATCTTACACTCCATCGTTTCTCTCCCTCCGTGTAATGAATGTCCGAGAAATTTATCTTCTCCATAGGTATCAATTAAATATCTAAACAACGCTCTACTATAATTAATCCATCTGCCATTAGTCTTGATCTTCATCAGTTCAGGTATTGGACCTTGGCGCGAAAATATCGTCGCAATCCCACCCGAAAGATCACCGACATTCTTTGGCGTACAGAAAACATGCACTTGCTCTGGGTTTGATATCAAACGGACGACATATCCTTTTTGTTCTTTAAATGGCTGAAACAACTCGTATATTTGTTGTACAGTTAATCCAAACACCTGTACGTCGATGTCTCCTGAATCCCATGGTAGTACGGAATGCATTTTAATCGCACCAATGCTAACACCGCCATCAATCAAGTAACTGACGTTATGTCGTTCCAAGTGGTCGGTAACTTCGAATAATGTTGTTACGAGATATTGATATAAATAAGGATAAGCATAAAGACCTTTATATGCCCAGTGCCCACCACCGAGCAAAAGCTCGTGCGAGTTTCGTTCAATACACAAACCTTTGCCGCTCAAAGGACTTGATGGGCTGCAAAGTTCGATTAATTTCCCCTCGATATCTTTAAAAATTAACACCTTGTGTTTCACTGCAAACGAAACGAGTTCTTCAGCTACCGCGCGTGAAGTCCATAGTTGATACAAGCTTTTGTATTGACTTTGTAAGAACATCATGCTGGGTCTTGTTCCGGTTGTCAGATTATAACCTTTAGCACGGTAAAAGAAATCTTTCAGGGCTGTGATATCGTTCATTTTCGGGTCAAATAACAAAGAAATATTTTGTATACTGCTTGTTCTTGCCATAAATGAGGATGATATCCCATCACAAATCATAATATTGTCTAAAAAGCGAACATACTCATAACTTTCGGAGAAGGTCCACCGACATAGTCTATAGCGGCTGCATTGCACATATAGTTTGTTTCCAGCGAGATACGAACCGCCTATAACATCTAGACCGGGGTATTTTTCCAAAGCATTCCATAAAGAAGCGACGTCCTCTTGCGCACGGTCTGAAGGCATCACTTTCGGCTCCAAGAATAGAAAGTACTTTGTATTTACTTTCTTGATTATGTTATTTAAGCTCGTGGCAAGATTGTTGTCCGTATGATCGTTCCAAAAGAAAGCAGATTTTGGGAACATAATCTGAAGTTGTTTTACTCGTCTGCTTGATGGCAGTACTCCCTTTTCGTCGTAGATGATTATAGACAGTTTCTCGGAAGCGAAGGCAACTCGATCTGACTCTGTCGACGTCCTATCCAGCCCACTTGAATCGTTTAAAGATTGATGTATTTTCTGCGGTGCTTTTGCCACGTTTATTATAGTGCTACTTGCATTTATTTCTTCTTTGTCGTTCATAACTTGCTTGCTTTTGTTCGGATCTGCCAAAGCTGCACGCTTCATGTTAGAATATTCCAAGGTTTTTATTTTTACTCGTAGCACGGAATTTTCGTTGTACAAGTATAACAAGACTACAAGTAGAAGCGAGGTAAGAGCTTTCGATCGAGTAATTCGTGGACAGCGCATGGTGAGCTGAGGAATCCAGTCGTCGTGCCACTACAATAAGCGTCTTGTACAAGTTGAAGCTCCCTGGCGGGTGTACATCCAAGTCAAAGGCGAATTACCTAAATAAGATTATTATAATTATCTTGTACAGGTAATTTGTACACGTAAATAAAATACACACTAGAGTTCGGTAATTTGTTTTTAAAATTCACAAAACTTAATAACCAAGGTGAAGTTGGCACAACATTCAACACGAATATACCACAGTAGCCCAAATGGGTTGCCCAAACGTAATTCAACACGAATATACCACAGTAGCCCAAACGTAATTGTGACCAATTTTATATTGCGATCTGTAACACTACTTCTAGAAATAATTAAAAGGCTATCTGCAAAGGGTTAAAAGGGTCTTAATTTCGAGTGATATTATGCAGACTTCAAACTCAAGCCAGGAACAGTTGATGGAAGCTGTTCAACTGCTCAACTGTTCCTGGCTTGAATTTGAAGTGTGTATAATACCACTCGAAATTAAGACCCTTTAAACCTCTAGAATATTCCTGCATCGAGTGAAGTGCCAAGAATCATCATTGATTTATCTGCAAAGGGTGTCATATCTTTCTTAATAGACTTATTATCCTGAATCCTGAACTAAATTTAGTTATGCATACGATGCAAATTTCATGTTGTTATCATTATTATTCATTTTTTTTAGAAATTCATTGTTTTCACTGCACAATGAAAATATTGGCATAGCGATTAGGAATTTTGAAAACCTTTTTTAAACCTTTTTCACTGTTGTCGCACATAAATTAAACCCGACAATATTGTTGGGAATAAGCAAAACATTAAATATCTCAGCAAGTATTTGGGCTAAAGACCCCGGAATACCACCAAACGATAGAGCTTGAAAAGACGATTTAAATAGTATTTTCAAACCCGCATATAGTAATAAACTGCGTTTTTATTATAAGTCAAAACATGAGTCAAAATAATAGGTTGCTTTGTTATCTCAAATTACTCACCCTTGGCAACCATATACTTTAGAAATTCCGTATTTTCTCACTTTTTTGGTCTCTGTTGTCTTTAAAATGTCTGAATTTTACATGTTATCATTCTGTTATAATTCTGAGTAATTTTTAGGGTAGGATGTGCAAAAGAATTGGAGAAATAGCGTTTTATAAGTTCTCAGCGATAATTGTTGCTAAGCGCGCGCTTACTGCGTTCTCGGAATGTTGTCATGCGGTTGTAAAAAGGCAACGCCCTCACCCTAGGGTAAATTTGACCCCAAAATTCGGTAAAATTGGACCAAGGGGTCAGTTTTTTTGCTTTTTTCGCCCGAAAATTTTTTCGATATTTGTAGTATTGTGAAATAGTATTCCCGGTGAGGGTAAATCAGTTATGATTTTTGGCACTTCACTCGATGCATGCAGTTAAATTCTAGAGGCTTAAAGGGTCTTAATTTCGAGTGGAATTATACACACTTCAAATTTAAGCCAGCAACAGTTGATGAAAAATGAGTCAACTATAGATCCTCCGGCAGGAATCGAGCCTACGCTTTTGCGATGTCTGGGTGGCCTGAGTCGGTGAAAAAAGTTACTTTGCAACTTCGGAAATACTCGATCTTTAGAGAAGAATTGACCGTACAGAATGGCATTATACTCCAGGGTGATCATTTGGTAATACCGCGATCTCTACGTCAGGAGTTTGTGAAAAAAATCCACTCAAACCATTTAGGAACACAAGCATGTCTTAGACGAGCTAGAGAGCTTGAGAAGTGTATTGGTATTGGCAGAACATGTGCAAATAAATCGTACAGGGGCCGGTTGTATCAAGCCCGTTTAGCTTAAACCGTTGTTAAGTTCAAAATAGAAAGCACGTCTATCGTTTTACTCCACAAGCAGACTAAATGTTTTTAACCTTAATACAAAGATACTGTTTACAACTACATACCTTTAGTGCATATTATTCAAGTTCACTCATTCAAGAGAGATGTAAGAGCGTTATTTAATTTTGACTTATCCACCGTTTAAGCTAAACGGGCTTGATACAACCGGCCCCAGTACATTTCAGAGTGTTCCGTTTGTAAGGTATATATACTCACAGGAGCAGCAGAAAGAACCCATGGTTGCACATTCCGTTCCTTCAAGACTTTGGGAGGTAACTGGAACTGATTTGCTCGTCGAGATTATCTGGTCACCGTAGAATTGCAACAAGTTAGAGATGGTAATAGCTACTTAAAAATATTTTAATGGTTTGTGTCGTAACCAGGGTATGTATATATAGGGTGTTGAGCATTTACGACGCGCATTTAGATTCTGTTGATATGAAGTCGAAAAAATGTACTATTGCGTGCAATTCTACGCAATTCGCTTCGTCCTTCAGATCGGATCCGCTTGGTCAGGTTAGCGTGAAATACGGACCTGAAAATCTAAGTAAGTAATGATAGACCTCACGCTCTCGAAGCATTGAGGGATTCCTTATTTAGGAACACCGCAACGAACGCAGCGTTTGTTTGAAATGATCAATCCTTCTTAGCCCAAGTTGGTAAAATGGAACAGCGAACAATTAGACCACCAACCACGACGTTTGTTTGAAATAACAAGTCCTTTCTATTCCAAGTTTGTTCCTGACGGAAAAATTTGCAACGACAAAAATTGGAGTTCGACAGAACTAGAAATATCTGGTGACATTATAGAGCAACGCTGAACGCTGCGCGGATCTGTATTTCGTAGAACGTTGGTAGGAACTTTGATAATCGGTAGCATCATTTACAGTCGCCGTGAGTTTGCGACACTTTCTGAATCCTTTCGTCAAACATGTGGAATACTGTTTAAGGTATTTTAATAATATGCAAGCTTGTTTTATCCAGGTTATCCTCGATCCTATGCCAATCAGCTTGATGATAGTTTGGCAGACTGTGCTGTAGTTCTTATCTATAAATTGAAATTAGTTCCCATAGGGCATTATATATTTTTTTAACTTAAAATATCCTTGTTAGAAAGACCTTTTTGTTGGTTCAGGTAAACTTAAATATTAGACTCTTGATTTATTAATAAATACGATTTTCATAGAAAAAGTGCCGTTTTCAATTAAAAAAAACTATTATCTACAAACGGAAACAGCATAGAGAAGGCAGGGCGTGTGAAAATCACCCTGGTTTAGTTATCGTTTGCAATGCGGGGGAAATCCGTTCTCGGCAGATCATCTTCAACATCACAGCATGTGGTTGTTTGAATAAAAAATACTACTCACGAGACCTGATTTTGATCAAAGATTAGGTTCGATTTGCCGAAAACGAAGAGGATAAGTCGCGTTCTAAATTATTATGAAACGACAGTTGAAACTGATGTTAAAGGTACTTCTGGATGGATGCCACCGGAAGTAATTGAAGTAATAGACAAAGTTGAAAAAGGTCGTTTCAAAAAGAAATCAGATGTCCACGTCGCGATTATGATTGCTTTCTTCATCTTAACCAAAGATGAACATCCTTTTGGTTCTTTGTTAGAACGATTGAAAAATAATTCAGGGGATAATCCTGTCAATTTGGAGAAACTTTGTGACCCCGAAGCTCGTAGGTTTGTGTCGTGGCTGATTAGTCACAAGATTGATGATAGACCTTATGCTGACGAATCATTGAGGAGTTCTTTTTTCATCCTTACAAAAAAGACACACCGAAGACATGGGAGGCCACGACCACCGTTATACCGTTAGAAATCTGAACGTAAGTAAAAAGACTTTGTGGACTTTGCCATTTCATATTCCTAAATCTAAAAACCGGTTTCGTTTCTGTTGTTCAAGAGTTAATCAGCATTTATCGTATGATTGGTGAATAACGCAATCACGTTTATCTCTTTCTTTTTAACAGGGACATGGGAAATCTCCGGTCGGAAATAATATCATTGCCCGGCGCTTGAGGATTATTACTTGGGCTAACGTAGGTTGCGTGCTAAATGGGCTCCTTTTTCCTTTTTCTTAGCGAGTTTACGAGAGTCACGCGTGAGCGAGAGTCACGCGGAAGACTTAGAACAAATGGAAATCGCTCTAGACAGGGCCGTAGCTAGACCGCTTAATTGGGGGGGGTGTATATTCATATATTCATGTTTATATCCCGTTGGAGCAATAGCGTACAAAAGAAATCAGTCGGGCATAGGACGAATGTATGAATATACACCCCCCCCTCCAATTAAGCTTCTAGCTACGGTCCAGGTTCTAGGATCGTTTTTCGCGCTGGTGTCACGAACATGCCATAACACCAAAAATGAGGCGATGCAAGCTCAAGCGAAATTACTGTAGTCCGAGTGAACGTCTTGTTACATTACATTTTTCGACATTTTTATTATAATATATCCGACTATCGTTTGCTATCCAGAGGTTCGGTCCTCGATTTCAGCTGTTTATTTTTTCAGCTCCGTGTAATTGCCCAATTTTCACTGATCTTATAATCATGTCTACGCGATGATCTATAGATTAACAACTGCAGGAAGTTTCACTGAGAAAAGTCAGCCTTTCAAACTGAAAAAGACAATTAGCATGCATGCATGGCACGCATGATGTTCATAAAACATTTGTAGTTAATATTACACACATGCATATATTTCTAGAGCTATATAATGTTTTTATAATTAAAACAAAAAGTAACACCCAGTGTAACACCCTATAGCTGCATTGTTTTTCCGAAAGTTTAACTGAATTACTGAAATCTCGATTATGTACAAAACAGCTATTTATGTGTCAGATCAGAGGATAAATCATTTACGATTTTTTGGCATTTCACTCGATGTAGGTAATTTCTAAATGTTTTTAAAGGGTCTTAATTTCGAGTGGAAGCCTACGCTTATCCGATGCCGGTGCAGTCAAATCTCAAGAGCAGTGCACCGGCATCGCATAAAAGCGCAGACTCGATTCCTGCCGGAGGACCGATAGTTAACTAACAGTTTCTCAACTGTTCCTGGCTTGAATTGAGTTGTGTATGATTGCAATCGAAATTAAAACCCTTTAAAAACCTTCAGTTTATATATCACCCGTATCTCAGCATTAGTATAGGTCCTGATTAGAAACTACTTTGTTGTTGATGGGAATCAAGTCGTGTAATGCATTACCAACTGAAGATCTAAATAGGCCGGGATGCTGGACATCAAACGTTTATTCTTGTATTTCAATCCTGCATGGAAAATTTATTCAAACATATGCTCATTAAAATATGTATTAAAAATGCTCAAGCATAATATAGCATTAACTGCGGCCTGCGAAATTACAATATTACAATAACACAATCAGTAAATATGCAGGCCCTTTGTATCAGCTTATAATAAGCCGGCATTCTATTCTTAAGCGTACGCATTAACGCAATATAAATAGGGCCAGGAAACAATCAATATTTATTTCAACAAAAGTGAAACCGATGAAAAGAAATATTGCAACTAAACCGGCTTTCGCAGGACAGCTGGTTTGTATATAATATAAATATAGTTGCTAGTTTGCACTCCCATGCATTACTTTCAAGGAAATATGGCAGATAGTGGTATTAATATATCATAAGGAGTATTTACAGTCTGGTTGGCTTGGGTATTTGACGGTCGCGACGCTTGTACAAAAAGGTACAGCTAGTGTATAAAATATCAATTCTAACTTTATATTTATTGCCATTGAGAAATCTGCACGTTATTTATTGTATTTTTTTTTATACCGTTTTGATTTGCCGGTTGTATGTTTTAATATATTATTCACTATTTTTCTTATGTTACTTATTTTTCGCCTTGCAATCGTCTGCGGTTTCTACCGTTCGATAGCAACCGAACCGCAACATAAGCGAAGCCGAACCGCAACCGCAGTGTTAGGTTATTAATCTCTGGACAATATTATAAATTATTTAGCCGAAATTGTGAGCCTCGTATTTCTTTAAACTGCATCTTTAAAATTATTTTTTAACTTTTGCTTATCACTCGTTTAAGCTGAACGCCTTCCGAACAACCGCCCAACTAAGGTAATATAAATTGTTACATGCATGATACCGTATCGTGTAATTATGATTATAATAGCGTTATATACTTTAATACTATAACTATATATATATTTAATTTTCGATGCACTTTAGAAAACTTATAGATTTAGTTATTTACATGCATGAGTAAGCAAAAAGTTATCCACACCTTATCCCACAAATGCATAACAAGGTATCAACTACAAACCAGCCGGATAGCATGTGCTACAACGCACTGTATTGCGTAGGGGAAATGACTTGTTGTTTTAAGGTCTGTTCACACGATCCAATTTTTTTGACTGACGTCTGACGTATAAAATATAGTCGGCTATTGGTGAAGCCGTAGTACATTGGCTTCAGTGGATTTGCTGCTGATATGCATTACATAACAACAGTTTATAAAACATCCATCAGAAGTGAATTGGATCCAACTTGGGACCAAACTGATTTATCAGGAAAATGGAAAAAAGATGGAATCGAGTTAAATTTAGCTATACCTGCGCGATAAAATACATTACCCGCACCTTCTCCGCGCCACTTGCGCTGAATTTACTATATTCCCGAATATAATTATCGCATCGTCAGCGCTGATCTTGTCAACACTCACCAGCTTGTCAATATAATGAGAATATAAAGTCCATCTTCGAGCGAACCGTATGTTCTGTTTATTATATGGGCAAAAATGAAAAGTAACTCAATACACTCAGACAGTCAGACTGCAATTGTTGACAAAAATAAAACAAAGTGGGAAAACTCGCGACGGTCGCACGAGAAAACATTCACACGCGTTGAATAATTATTTTTTTCATATTTTATGTCACTATAGTGAAATATTGCGCCTCATTGGCGCAATAGGCCTAGATGATGATGATAGTGAAATATGAAAAATATAAGTGTTTTATTTTCCGATAAAATATATACCCATGTTCTTATAATAAATAGAGAATATTATACGGTTGCGCAGAAAAGTGAGTGTTGAAAAGAATATTAATTGCTAACGAGTGTGCGCAGCGAACCAGTTAGTAATATTTTTTTCTATACCAGAAATAAATCCATATTTCCAAGCAACCATGTAATATATATTTTATATGAACATATTAAATTATAAGCAAATGACAATTTGTAAATACGGTATATAAATACGGTATGAAATGAACGAATGGAAACTGTAAGCTAGAAAGAACATTCACAAATTGACAAAGCGTTAGCAAACATAGTTAGAATAATACTAGAATATGTAGCTAAATCCTAAACTTAGCTAATCGTGCCATGAAACAACGCTAGCTTTTGACGAAGTAGACGGCAATATTTCGTGGCGACGTTGAATGGCTTCCATTTTATTTGCGTGACACTTGTTTCAAGTCTCCCGACGAATGTTCTGCAAAATTTACAGGCGTATGTGCGGAGGTACAGGATAAAATGGCAGAAATATGATATTTTTAAGCGGTTATACGTGTGTTTAAATACGATTTTTCTAGCTTGGTGGCGTAAAACTCTATATAACACTCATGTTCATACAATAAAAACTAACACTTCTCCGATATGTTGACAAATCAAAAATTCATTGCGCCTTATTTAACTGAGAAATCTGCAGCTCGATCTAAGAGTAGTACAGTATATTAAATGACAGATCAGAGGCAAAGCATTGTTGTAGCAAAAAATCGAGATTCTTGGCGTCAAAAATATAAATAAATTATAGATGTGCTGCCTTGCTCACTTGCTCACTCGCAGTGCCGGTAATTAAGGTAAAATTAGAAAGCATGTATTAATATTTTTTTTAAATGACCTTCGCCGCAGCTGAAAATTTGTCAAGTTTAAATGCGAAACACCGGTCACTGAGTTTTTGTTGAATATTTTTGGGGAAATAAATCTAGAGAATAACTGAATAACTGAGATTCACACACTAGTGTATAAGCAATATATATGCATGGATATAATATTAATTACGGAACAAGATGATAATGAAGCGTTTGTGTAGTTTTGATTAACTGGGTGTCAGTAAAAATTCTATCCAATGGCAAGAAGAGCTTTTAAGAGTTTGTTTGTATACGAGATGATTTCGCTAGGGGGCAATTCAATATCGTCAATATGCGAAGAAGTACAATTATTACTATTATATACACTGCATTTCAAACTCGGAACGAATTTGTTGGTGTCTTCCTGTTTTGAAAACGAGCATATTTTGTAAGTATATATTGGTTTTTAGCCATCTTTCTACATCTATGTAGCCGTATAAGCTATAAAACATCAAACGCTAAAAAATCGGATATGGCTACATGAGAGGACGTCTTGTTTCCTTTGAGATTTTGAATGCAGATCAATGGCCTAAGTTATACTGTGATGTCCGCTAGTCTCAATAAATTAAGGCAGAGAACGGACCTTGCTTTATTTTAGTTTAGTTTAATAGTTAAACACAGCCACTGAGATCGTGTTCTTGATTTTACATTTCAATTCACATAACGTAGTCACTTATTTGTGTTTTCAGCTCCTAAAGAATACATAGCTTCTCATGTTTTCTCGTTATATTCAGTTTATACATGCAGGCATGGTTTACACTATATAAATTATATAGCTTGAAAATCTAGGGAATCCCCGATTCATAGGGCATGCAAGCTCGAAGCGATGCCGCCAAAAAAGTTTTTTTTTAGATACGGTTATAGTCTAGCCCAAAGTTCGTGGAGGCTAATGACAAAAAAATTAATTACAAAGTATTTTTGTTAGGCCATTACATACACAGCTTAATTGCGATCTTGATAAAATGATAATAAAGCTTTATTTAGCAGATGGTGAGATTTTGTTGGAAAATTAAAATTTTCCCAAAGCAAATTTGGTCCAGACTATCACTCAAGGGATAGCAAGTTAGGGACAACTGTAATATTGTATTATAGAAATTATACTGAAATATATTTAGAGCTACATATATATGTAGATTTATCCGGTTTAAGGCATCAAAATAATGTGAAGCATGCATGTTCATAATAAAGTAGATTTGGAATAATTTGCATCCTTTATTAATTTCAGTTGCCTTCAAATCCCTTAGTTTGTTTGCCGAAGAAATAAAATACGTCTTTAATTTTCTATGTAGCAGTAAAAACATCTGGACTACCTTAAATGTCTTCAAAATTAAATCGAACAGGAAATGAATGGTAAACTTTGAGACAATATTCATCCAGTCCTTCGCATGCACTTCAAAGCATTCTCTTCGCACCAGAGGTTGTGTCACAGCGGGGTTGGGCCCCTTCGCGGAATTGTACCCGCAAACTTGATTCAGATAAAAAAATATAAGGCGTCCGTTTAAAATATATCTTGTTTTTCATGTGCTGAACTCAATTCCTGCCATTTTGCACATCATTAGCGCCGCATAGGCCTTTCGCACCGTTGAAAAGTTTTGAAATTCAGAAAAAATTTGAGGTTAATTTTTATTAAGCTTGGTATCTCTTTGAGGCAATAATTTTGATGAGCTGCTAGCTAATTCTCAGGATCACAAAACAGTATTCCTAGCATAGGCAGTCCCTGGAGCATGGGTTGATTATGCCCTGAATTACGGAAGGAAGGTCCCCTACTCTACAACACCCGGACACTTATTTTCAGAGAGGTTTGCAAAGCATTTAGCGACAAATACATGCCCGACGTCATGACCTGTCCGACTACAACAGAAGATATCATTAGATGATGGTATTGGAATGAGTTGTAACGAGCCGAGCTTACTTTACACACACAAACACACAACAGGTCTAAATCCAACTCTGTTATTCAATAGTTTACATTTGTTATTTATACTCTCGTTCTATAGGGCGTGTACGCTTCCTTTACTTATCTAAAATTGATTGTTATTTTTTAAAATTGATGGTTATTTTTATATTAATCTCGGAAGCACTTGCAATGGTACGTCCGCGGCAAGCTACCTTTCCTTATTCCATTAGTGTTTGTCTGTATACTATTTTTAATGTTAATCTATTTTCTGATATCCGTTACACCATCCTCCTCCTTATGTTCTCGTCCCGAGGACATGCTTTCAATCAAATCCATATCTTAATGGCGGATTAATGTGTTGTCTAAGTCTGGCAGGTCGAGCACGAGGAACTTCGTAAATTCCGTCATGTTGGGGTGTAACATCAACCACCTTGAACTCACCTACTTCCCTACTAGGGCAAACTGGTTCGCCCTCTTGAAACGGGATAAAACTGCGTTTTAAATGGTCGTGGTGAACGACCATCACCTTCCCTCCCTTTGAAATAATTCGATAGTCTACCTCCATCCGTTTTAAGATTATATAAGGCCCCACCCATCTAGGTCCGAACTTCCAGCCTTTCGGTCTTCTCAACATGACTGTTTCGCCCGACTCGAAAGGCCGCCAGGTATTTGTCGGTTGATTGAGCCTTGCCTGTTTTTTCGCACAAGTCCCAATCATCTCGCCTATTTGAAACAAATGAGGAAAGCATAGCCTGAATTGTGCGGTTTTGGCGCTCTGTCTGTCCGTCACACTGAGGATGGTAGCTAGTAGTGCGCGTTTTCGTAATACCCATAAAATTACACACTTCATGGAGCAGCGTGCTCTCAAAATTTCTGCCTTGGTCTGAATGCAAGACTGCTGGGGGGCCAAACCTGGAGAAAATG